GCTATACGGGCGATCTTTGATCCGATGTAGAATTATGTTTTACTGTCACGTCTAATTACGGACTCGAGGTACAGCGCCTGGCTCGGCACATATTTGCTTTTTCATTTTACAGCGCTCCAACCTGCTCTCTGTTGTATCACGTTGATGCAGGTCTGCCTTCAATAACTGTCCGGGTAATACATTCTCTGATGTTTCCCACTCGTGTACCCTCCGAGAAATATTTTAGATGTTATCTAGCAGACCTTTTGTACAAACATTTACAACGTAGGGTTGCGTAGCCAATGCAATGCTCCATATTTGTTTTTTGGGTGAGACCACGTGGCCTAATCCAACATACAAAGGTGGATCTCTGTAGTAGAAGAATGTTGTTGTTGCTCGTGTTTATCTTGTTTAGCTTAAGCCTTCTTTATTAAATTTCGATTTAAAGCTTTCGTGACTGCAATGATTCATCTTCTTTGGTTCTTTCGGTAAAGTCACGTAGAATGATAATAAAATAATAAATTGATAAAATAAAATAACACAATAATATTCTATTACGTTCCTTTTCCCTGTAATTTATTTACAACGGTTGTCCTACAATGTTACCAGCAGATCGGAGATGGTTAATATTTTCCCATATATGTTTATGCCTTTATTTTCTCTCCTTTCTCATGTCAAGGGTGCATTATTTTTGGTATCTCATTGCCTGGCTCACCTGATTTGTATTCTGCTGCTTTCATTATTCACTCTTCGGTGTAGTTATTCCATCCTTATTCCTGGTTCTTTCGGTAAAGTCACGTAGAAGGGAATATGAACACCTGCAGTCACGAAAGCTTTAAATCGAAATTCATTCCATCCTTGCAAAAGGTTTTCATTTTTTTAAAATGTGTTTATTTCGGCCTTGGTTTGTGAGAGATTGGATGACTGCATCATTTTACAGTGAGTTACATGCATTGTCGTAGTGTACAAAATCTAGGCGTTTGATATGTATCGTATTAGTCCTATTAAAGAATGTGATAGAGAAAATGTTTATTATACTGTACCAGTATGGTTTTTTTTATTTTCCAAATGATCTTTGTGAATAATTTCTGTACGCATGTTGATGCTAAATGTGGAGGGGAAACCCGGAGGACCCGGAAAAAAATCCCCAGGGACCACAGAGAGAGAGAGAACATGCAAACTCCAATTACACAGGGGTCGGGATTGAACCCAGGCCCTGCTGTGTATCAGGCGGGGTAGTGAACACTCGCCACCGTGGCGCTCAGTATCTTAGCAGGAACCTAAAACAAGAGTCATGTGACCCCGCGAGGCATTCCTGGGGGACACAAACGGAATCATATGATATTCTTTGGTTCTTTCGGTAAAGTCACGTAGATAGAAAAATTAAAATAAAGTGAATATAAATTATATATATCAAAAATATATCACTAATCTAGACTGTAGCCTGGTTCTGAGCGTGGCTTTTTCACTCCAGCGCTGTCCTCCAGACAGTCTCGTCCCTTCACCTGATGAAGGCCGCTTGTGTTGTGGCCGAAACGTCGTGATTTTTGTTATTTTATTTTTTACCTACGTGACTTTACCCAATAGAACCAAAGAGTATGGATCTTAGCAGTCACGAAAGCTTTAAATATAGAATTGTAGCCTGGTTCTTAATCGGAGTGAGTGTACTGGCAATCTACAATGTGGACTGTAGCCTCGTTATTAAGTTTGGTGAGTGTACTGGCAGTCTAAAATCGAGACTGTAGCAATGATTAAGCTGGATGAGTGTGCTGGCAGTCTATAATGTAGACTGTAGCCTGGTTCTTAACCTCGGTGAGCGTACTGGCTACATTATAGACTGCCAGTACACTCACCAAGCTTAAAAACCATTGCTACAGTCTACATTATAGACTGCCAGTACACTCACCAAACTTAATAACCAGGCTACAGTCCACATTATAGACTGCCAGTACACTCACTCCGATTAAGAACCAGGCTACAGTCTACATTAGTGTGTTTTTGTTTTAATTTTTTTATTCACTTTATTTTTTATCATATTTTTTCTATCTACGTGACTTTACCGAAAGAACCAAAGAATATGCATTCCTGCAGTCACGAAAGTTTTAAGTCAAAACGTAATAATATTATCTCTCATGTTAATCCACTGCTGGATGAAGGCCTCCCCAAGCGGTGTCAGTGATGGGGGTTGTTTCACATCTCTGTTCAGTGCTAGCTGGTAAAGGGGGCGAGGGGGAAGGCTGGGGGGGACAGGACTGGTTGAGGTGTAAATCGGCACTGATGTTAGCCGTGGTGGGGAATTAATGTCTCATTTTGACTTCAGAGCTCAGTGCGCTATCCACCGCGACTGGATGTTGTGTGCCGGGTGTGGAACTATTTACCAGATCGCTGACCCGGCCGACATTAAACCCGGAGCACACCCATTGCATTATGCATATACTTTCACAAATATCAACCCTCCTTAGCCTATATTCTATATGTTACGTGCAAATACACCTACACGCACACATACATATTTATCATCAAGATCTCATTTCTCATGGAATGTTTTTCGGAGGCATACCCCCCAACCCCCAACCTCCCCCCAGGCCCCGCCCAGTGGAGACATTTTCCGGAGCTCAGCCCCAGGCAGCTCCGGTTTCAATGAAGCCCTGAGTACATTAAGAGACGCACAATGCATTGTGCACTTTAGAACACACATTCCACGCCCAATGCCCCCGATCTCGTATTTTGTAAGCTAAGCAGGTTTTGGACCCTGGTTAGATTTTGGATGGTACCTGGACTGCGTGGTTGCCAGTAAAGTGGCAGTGCCAACATTGGATCTTTGCTTCCATCTGTGCGGTCCTTTTTCAGTGTTTTCGCCCTGGTATACGCGGGTTCCATCCCAATTTATTATTTTATTCTCATTCTACGTGACTTTACCGAAAGAACCAAAGAAGATGACTCGTTCATGGAGTTGGTCATGCACATCTCAATGCGGGGCAGGCGCCTCTTGAAAAGAGTGTCAGAGACTCAGTGAGGTTTTCCCGGATAAATAATGAGCACGACTGTAGAGCACGGTGAGATACGCATTTATGTGCCTGCGTGATGCAGCTTACAAAGACAAAGATTCCGCCGGCTTCGAAGCGCAGTGCGCTAACCACTACCATTACCGCTCACACGCACATTGACAGCCCACGTGTATTTGTATGAAGACACCCCTGTCCACGTGTGTAACACGACACGTGTGTAACACTACACGTGTGTGTGTGTGTGTGGGGGGGGGGGAGTTACAACGGTTAGCGCATTGCGCTACGAACCCGGCGATCCCCAGTTCGATTCCCGTCCACGGCAAACAGCAGTGACAATTATCTGAACCGGTCCTGGGTCTCCCCTAGGTTGACTCAGCCAACGAGTAACTTGTGCGATGCGTAAACATCGCCACTAGGGAGACAAAGGCGATCGGGCGTGGTGCTGGCCACCCAGTCCCTCGTGTGCCGGCCTTAATAGGTGCTCGCTAACAGCGCTTGCCCCAACAGCCTGTGAAGGCTACACGGGTGACCGCTGTCTTTGTATTGTGACAAATATGCTCGTGTCCACATGGACATGCGCTAATAAACACACAGACACCCCTTGTATATACATCACATTATACACGCACATATAGTGCACATTAAGACAAAGATCCCCCGTGTAGCCTTTAACAGACTGTAGGGGCAAGTGCTGTTAGCGAGGACCTATGAAGGCCGACACAACACACGTGGTGGTGGGTGGCCAGCACCACGCCCGGCCGCCTTTGTCTCCCCTAGTGCTGATGTTTACTACACCGCACCAGGTGCTCATTTCAGGCTGAGTCTACCTAGGCGACGAGATGCACCACCGGTTCAGACATTCGCTCCTGGTATAGCAATAATGTGCAACACAAACGCGCTGTTCCACTGCAGTGTACATTGACAAGGCACCGTCTGGCACGTACATTATGACACATTCGCGATAACACGTACACATATAAATATGGTGTACATTAAGACGCGCGTATTTAGCGGCACATGTTGTATAGTAAACAGCAAATATATCAAAAGGCTGTATGGGAGGATGCACTGTATATGTAAATCACACGGAACACACGAAGGCACCATTGATGCTGTGGTGACGAGCCACAACATCTGAACCATCCCACAGGGCCTCTCCAACGCACTGACCAGCGTGGTGAAGTATGGTTTACAACAAAACACCCACCCCACAAATGACCGACAACAGAGCTTGGAGAGAGAGGGGGGGGGAGTCGTTGATCCAGCAGTGGAATGATAAATGGCGTTATAGCTGTGTGTATATAGACATAGTCGCGTGGTGTGTATCGTGTTACAAGAAGACTGGGCACATACATTGTATTGTACACACGCGCACGCGGTCGCATGCTATATACGTTGGGTTGGAATATGAAGGCATTGGCAAATACATCGTTATCATCAGCCATGGTCAGTCCACTGTTGGACGAAGGCGTCCACAAAACAAGACGCAGCCGCCACCTATTTACAAGGCTTGGCACATAGGCACATTGCGCAAAGACAAAGGTCCCGCCGTATAGGCTCTTCTGGCTGTCGGGGCAAGTGCTGTTAGCGTCGGTGTGGTCAGAGCCACGCCCGGCCGCCTTTGTCTCCCAAGTGCCGACTGTTGGCGCACCAGGTATACTCGTTTAAGGCCGCGTCAATCTATGGGAGGCCCAGTGCCGGCTTCGAATATTCGCCAGCGATGCACACATACACACTCATTGCGAAACGCGCGCATTACATTGCAAATAATAATAATGCATTGAAAGTCTAGGCACATATACCCTATACAGCGTATTTACAAATATAAAAAATACATACATGATATAGTGTATGTGTGTATATACGAATACGGTGTGTGTGTATATACCGTATATATAAGGGGGAGGAGAGCTACTGCATAGTATCCCTGCTGTAAAATGCGCACAAGAGGAGCTGCGCCTATCCTCCTCCAACGCCCCCACCCCACCCCGGCTCCACTATCGGGAATCTCACCTCTCCGCGTCTTCTCCACGGCGAGCCTCTCGTCGCCTCGTCTTCATGGACGGCGAACGAATCTCCGTCTTAAATTCATTCATTCAGGAACGCGCGCGTGCGTGCGTACGTACGAGATGGAAACGCGCGCGTGTGTGGGGGGAGGGGGGCAGATGGAGGTGCATCAGCAGTGGCAGCAACAGCAGTGGCAGCGGCGGCGGCGGCATCAGCTCCCTCCTCCTTCCTCATCCCTGATGAGCGAGGATGCTCGCTCGCTCGCTCCCGCTATTGGCGCATGCGTGTCCGTGCGTGAGTGCGTGGCCAAGCGCGTGTGCGCGTGTGTCTGTGTGTGTGTGCGCGCGTGTGTCTGTGTGTGTGCGCGCGTGTGTGTGCGTGCGTGTGCGTGTGTGCGCGCGTGTGTGCGTGCGTGTGTGCGCGTGTGTGTGCGCGCGTGTGTGCGCGTGTGTGTGCGCGCGTGTGTGTGCGTGCGTGTGTGTGCGCGCGTGTGTGTGCGTGCGTGTGTGTGCGCGCGTGCGTGCGTGCGCGCGCGTGTGTGCATGTGTGTGCGCGTGTGTGCGTGTGCGTTTGTGTGCGCGCGTGTGTGTGCGTGGCCAAGCGCGTGTGCGCGTGTGTCCGTGTGTGAGTGCGTGGCCAAGCGTGTGTGCGAGTGCGGTTTCAGGAAAGGGCGGTCCTGCACAGATGCCATATTTTCTGTCCGTCTGCTACAGCAGAGGTGTAGGGAATTCCAACAAGACCTACATCTCTGCTTTATTGACCTGGTCAAGGCCTATGATACCATTAGTAGGTCTGGGCTCTGGGTTGTTCTACGTGTTTTTGGAGTACCTGACCCTCTGCTCACGATCATTAAGGACCTTCATGATGGTGAGCGGGCCCGGGTAAAACTACGTGGCCGGGAGTCCGAGCCATTCCCTGTACACCTTGGGGTGCGACAGGGATGTCCTCTGGCTCCCACATTATTTAACATCTATTTTGACCACGTAGTTCGTGAAGCCTTCAATAGCTGTACCGGGGGAATCTCCATATGGTACAGATATAATGGGAGGCTGATCGATGCCCGGGTGTGGTCAAGGGATGGCTCCCTATTGGTCAACCACGTTATGTATGCTGATGATTTGGTAATAGCTGCTCATTCAGAGGAGGAGTTGGAGACGCTGCTGCTGAGACTGGAGCGTGTCACTAAGACATGGGGCCTTACCATCAGCCCCACCAAAACTAAGCACCTGCCTGGGTATTTTGTACAATCGCACACTCCACCCCCACAACTCCCAATAGGTGATGGGGCAGTTGTGGAGAGAGTGGAGAGTTTCCCATATCTGGGCAGTGTGCTTATGACTGGCTCCAGTTTAACAGCAGAGGTCTCACTCCGAATCAGTCGAGCGGCAATATCTTTTCATCGGTTGCGTAACGCTGTGTGGAAGCTACCTGGTCTGTCGCTCCGCAATAAGCTTCAGGTCCTCTCGGCCACGGTCATTCCCTCCCTTCTCTACGCTTGCGAAACGTGGACACCCCTAATGGAACATCTTCGCCGGTTAGAAACATTTAGGCTGGCCTGCCTACGATCCATCCTGGGTTTAACTAGACTGGATTGTGTGAGGAGCTCACAAATCCTTGAAAGAGCTAGGCAAGGTCCCATCGGTGAGCTCCTCCGGCGTGGAAGGCTGCGATGGCTGGGTCATGTAGCCCGCATGCCCAGCCACCGCATGCCGAAACAGCTTTTGTTCGGCCGGATTGAGGGGGCTAAGCGGGCGCGGCACGGGCTAGAGAAGAGATGGAGTGATGTGGTGCAGGAGGACGTGGAGCTGAGTGGGCTTGCCGATGACTGGTACCAGCGGTGTCAAGATCGGCCTCTGTGGAGGAGGCTCGTGAAGGACGCTGCTACTGGGCAGTTGGAGGCAGTCGCCCTCCAACAACAACGGAGGGCGGAGGAGCGACGCTCACAACAACGAGCGGAGCGCCGGGTGGCTAAAGCACCGCAGGTTGGCACAGTAGGGGGCACAGGTGGTGCATCAGCCAGTCATCTCAGTCAGTCGACCCGTGGCACCTGGGTCTGCCCTGTGACCTCCTGCCAGCGGGCGTTCGACACTTCACGTGGCGTCGGGGTGCACATAGCCTGGCACAAGCGTCGTGGTGACGTCACCGCCACTTCGTGGCGAATGGTTGTTGTTGTTGTGTGGGGAGCGGTGGTGTAGCGGTTAGCGCGCTGCGCTAGAAACCCGGCGACCCGGGTTCGGTTCCCCGCATCACGGCCAACACCACCGGTGACGATTATCTGAACCGGTCCTGGGCCTCCCCTAGGTCGACTCAGCCTCAAATGAGTTCCCGATGCGATGTGTAAACATCGCCACTAGGGAGACAAAGGCGGCCGGGCGTGGTGTTGGCCACCCACCCCCTCGTGTGCCCGTGCCGGCCTTTACAGGTGTTCGCTAACAGCACTTGCCCCTACAGTCTGTTAATGCTACACGTGGGATCTTTGTCTTTGTGCGTGCGCGCGTGTCGCCGTCTGGGTAGCAGCGGTAGTGGAGCGGTGAGCACGACGCGCTGCGAACCCGCCGACCCGAGTTCGATTCCCGTAGCACGGTCGACACGGGTGACGATTATATGAACCGGTCCTGGGCCTCCTCTAGGTCGACTCAGCCTCAAATGAGTATATGGTGCCGTGCGTTAAAAAAAACACATCACCAATGGGGAGACAAAGGCGGCCGGGCGTGGCGCTGGCCACTCAGCGCCCTCGAGCAGCACCTGTGTGTGTCGATCCGTGCGCTGTGTATCTGCGCGTGTAATGGTTTAAGCGGTGTCCCTGTGTCTTGCGGGTCCGTACGTGATTGTGTTCACGTGCGTCTTGTGCGCACGCGCGCGCGTGTGTGCGTGTGTGCACGCACGTGTTGAGTGTTTGTAGTGATGGGTGCACGTACTGTGTCGGCGTGTTGTGATTCTACGTCTGGCTAGCGTGGGAGAGTTTGGTGTCCTTCCCGGGGCACTTTCGATCACCACGGTTGACTGGGTACGGTGCGAAAGAGCTATTTATCTTTAACTCTTTATCTTGAACTATTTATCTTTGACGATGTATCTTTAACTATTTATCTTTAAATATCTTTATTTAACCAGGTAAGGCCCACTGAGTTACAGAGCTCTTTTTTCAGAAGCGACCTGGCCACAAATGATAGCTCAGCCAAGTGGCTTATCGTGTGCCAATGTACAGCAGCCAAATACTCCAAACGCACGTTGATTTTTAAATGTGGGAGGGAAAACGCGGAAAAAAAATCCACGCGACCATGGGGAGAACACGCAAACTCCAAATGTACAGGCGTCAGGGTCGGGTTCGAACCCACGACCTCCTGTATACCAGTCGAGGTAGTTAACATTTCGTCACCCACGGGGTACACATATCCTACAGAGCGGTGTGTGTGGCTCACGGACCACTCGGTTGATGCAAACATTTCCACCCAGCCCGCACCACCCCTGGTGACAAAACGCATTCACTTATCTCTCTAAATACCACTAATACAAGATGATTAACATTGCCGGAACATACATACCATTTTTTTTAACGCGGCTATAATGTTATTTTTTTTTCTTAGGAGTAGTGGGGGGGGGGACATAAATATATTGGGGTTAGGGTAGTTTAATCAGAGTAGTTTACCTAACTTTACTTTGTTTAATTAAATATCACGAGTAAAATATTGATGTCCAAAACAAAAGGTAGAATAAACATCGTCATTATTGTCCGAATCGGTCTGCGTCTGCACCACAGCTACCGGGGAGCACCTGGAGGACCGACTCGGACCTCCCTGGTTATCCGGGCACCACCACTTTGAGAACCACTTGGGGGGGGGGGGGGGTAGACTTTAGGTGCTCTCTAGAGCATCCGCTGTAGCAGTGGGGTAGGGGGCCATCCATTTAGTACGCATGGAGCGGGGAGTGGGGCAACCCAAATGCGTAGCTTGAGTATGGGGGGGGTCTACTGACAATGTGCGGACGCATAGGAAACAGGGGGGGGGGAGAGGCGGTGAAGCCTCTATAATTATTTGTCTACATTGGCCTTCAAATGGGTTAGATAGTCCGGAGGGTGGACGATCTGTTTGCTTAAACACGTTAATCTTATTAATATTCTTTGGGTCTTTCGGTAAAGTCGCGTAGATAGGTTCAAAGAAAATAACAAAAATAACAAAACCTACGACGTTTAGATCGCAACGCAAGCGATCGTCATCCGGAGAAAAAAATGGGTCGGGTTCAATGACGATTGCTTGTGTTGCGATCGAAACGTCGTAGGTTTTCGTTATTTTCTTTGAACCTATCTACGTGACTTTACCGAAAGACCCAAAGAATATGAACTCGTGCAGTCACGAAAGCTTTAAGTCGATATTATGAATCCTTCATCGTTTCTGCGTAGATTAAATATCGGCCGTTCTATAGGATTCGGGGGTGGGGGGGGGGGGGGGGGGGTGCGTCAGGCGTTCGTACGCAGGTGGGGAGGAGGAGGAGGGGGTAAAAAGTCCGCGTGCGTACATGGAGGGGGGAAGGGGTTTAAGTGTTGACAGATTTTTTTGCGTACGTCCTAAGTGAATGGCCCCTAAGCAAGCAATTGCAGGGCTGCGCTTTTATACGTCACCTTTAAGTTGACGCCGACGCTGTGTCCGTGTGGCGTTGTGTGCATACGCATCGCGTGCGCTGTGTGTTCTGTGAGCACGTGTCACGTGCATCGCGTGCGCTGTGTGTTCTGTGAGCACGTGTCACGTGCATCGCGTGCGCTGTGTGTTCTGTGAGCACGTGTCACGTGCATCGCGTGCGCTGTGTGTTCTGTGAGCACGTGTCACGTGCATCGCGTGCGCTGTGTGTTCTGTGAGCACGTGTCACGTGCATCGCGTGCGCTGTGTGTTCTGTGAGCACGTGTCGCGTGTATCACGTGCGCTGTGTGTTCTGTGAGCACGTGTCATGTGTATCACGTGCGCTGTGTGTTCTGTGAGCACGTGTCACGTGCATCGCGTGCGCTGTGTGTTCTGTGAGCACGTGTCACGTGTATCGCGTGCGCTGTGTGTTCTGTGAGCACGTGTCGCGTGTATCACGTGCGCTGTGTGCTCTGTGAGCACGTGCCGCGTGTATCACGTGCGCTGTGTGTTCTGTGAGCACGTGTCGCGTGTATCACGTGCGCTGCGTGTTCTGTGAGCACGTGTCACGTGTATCACGTGCGCTGTGTGTTCTGTGAGCACGTGTCACGTGCATCGCGTGCGCTGTGTGCTCTGTGAGCACGTGTCACGTGTATCGCGTGCGCTGTGTGTTCTGAGCACGTGTCACGTGTATCACGTGCGCTGTGTGCTCTGTGAGCACGTGTCACGTGTATCACGTGCGCTGCGTGTTCTGTGAGCACGTGTCACGTGCATCACGTGCGCTGTGTGTTCTGTGAGCACGTGTCACGTGTATCGCGTGCGCTGTGTGTTCTGTGAGCACGTGCCGTGTGTATTTGTGAACGCTAAGTTTATATACGACATGGGCAAGTGCTTCTGTCTGAGTGTGTGTATATTGTATATAGGGGCTGTACATAAATGACGTCACGCACCTGGGGGGGGGCGGTCAGACATTTGTGACGATGTGTGACGAGGGGGGGGGGGGGAGAAACGTGACGTCACATCAAAATGCGCAACTTTAAATAAATATAGACAACACGCTATACTTAATTAAATAAACTTTTTAATAAATGTTTTCTCCTACAACATCAGAGTGCAGCGCCACATTAAATACGCACTACAGTGACAATAGTTTAAAGCGATTTGAAGCATGTTTTATTTTGGGGGGGGGGGGGGGGCAGAGCTTTGTGACGTCATATTTTAGAGGGGGGTCTGACTTTTTGTAACGCCGTGTGACTAGTGGTGGGGGGGTCAAAAATCGTCCAAAATCGCGTGACGTCATTTATGGACGGCCCCATATGCCTTAATAGGCGCTCGCTAACATTACTTACCCACCCGATCCATCCTGGCGCGAGACATGGCTCATGGGCATGACAACGGCTCGTGCACGACAGCGAGATTCCCAATGAAGCATCGCTTCGATGTCTGTCCATGATTACAGATCGCCACCAGCCAGCGGCCAAGCGGCATTTGAATGCGACTTTTAGCCGCCTCGAGGTCACGTCAGCCTTTACAAAATAGAAAATACCCGGTCCTGTTACATTGTCAGCATCAGCACTGGGAAGACAAAGACGGGCGCCGGACGCACGTGGTTGCTGACTCCAGCAATTCATTTTTCAAGTGTGCAGTGTCAGCCTTAATAGATGCTCGCTGATAGTGCTTGCTCGTGGCCAACACGGCTGAATGTGGGGTCGGTTTGTTTTTTTGGCGTGTCTTTGTTTTTGTCTGTGTGGAGAGCGGTAGTGCAGCATCTTAGAGCTCTGCCAAGCACGGTGACCCGAAGTTCGATTCCCGCTCACGGCCAACACCGGTGACGATTACACGAACCGGTCCTGGGCATTTTCCCTAGGTCGACTCGGCCTCAAATTAGTACCGGGTAAAACATCACCAGCAGGGAGACAAAGGCGGCCGGGCGTGGTGTTTGGCCAATCATCCTCTCGTGTGCCCCGACGGCCTTCGGAGGTGCTCGCCGACAGCATTTGCCCCAACAGTTTGTTTAGGCTATGCGGGCGATCTTTGTCTTTGTGAGCGCGTACAATGTAATTGCGTGCGATTCGAACGAGGGGAAACTATGTAACTTGCTACGTTTGCTGTTCAGGAGGGGAGGCAGGGGTTGGCTCTGCCTGCTGACCTTGGCGTAATGGCCTCTGCGTGCATTAGTCGTAGTGTGGTTAGAATGGGCTGCTTTAAGCGTAATTGGCTCATACATGTATGCATGGGCCAACATTATGTATCTGTATATGTGTGCGTGTTCACACACAATACTGATATAGATTGAGAGACGTAAGGAAGAGCGCGTGGATTAGAGAACATAGAATCGTTTAAAGGCATTTTTTTAAAACAAAATTATTCCTGGAACATTTAGGGGGCAGTGGCGGAACTCGCCCATGGGGGCCACGAAGCGGAAAATGTTTAAACAATTCTAATGAGATGACATGAGATATAGATATGAGATGTAGGCATGGGACAGAGTTGTACGTATTGGGTAGGTAAATGTGGACAAGAATAGAGATGAGTGGATGTTACGTTAATGAACATATTGTCATTTAGATTTTAATGTGAGTTGATATTGGCCGCACCAATATTGTTCACGAATCCTGAGTCACCACTCGAGTTGTTCGGGGCCATTCGATATTGCTTCGTTTCCTGTGACGTTCGGAATCGCCTCCCTTGATTTGACAAATGCCAGCACATCTGTAAACGAATTTAGATCTTATAAGCATTATACAAACCTGTTGTGGAAGGAAATTAAACAAGAACATAAAACACCAAAAATGTTGTTCATGTTAAAATGTTATCGGTGTCCCATGTTACAATTCCATGGCAGTCAAATTGACAATATACGTAACCAGACTTTCTCCATAGGAATATGGAATTTACACTATAGGCTTCGGACCAACGCAAAGCTGAGCAGAACAACTTTTGTGTTTACACACGGGGGCAACTTTGGAGAAAAACAGAACGTCTCTTGTAACACGTGCATTCAGTTGTGAAGTTCCTACAGAAGATCATCTCCAAGCCAGGAATGCTGTTGTCAAGCTGCAATGAGGTGGCGACCTGCGTATCTACTGCCTTGCAGACCATCATCGAGGATGAATATATTGATGGCGAATGATGCCTTCACCCGAGTTCAGGGCGAAGCAAGCACTACCAAAGTGCTTGGCTGATACACAGTTTACAGTAAACAGAGAGTTTTTAATAGTAAAGGAACTCATAAGATATCTATTGGAGGAAGAACCACACAACTCAGTGGAAGAAGCCCCTGAACTCGTAAACTTGGCAGATGTTTGATCCTGAAGAATAATACATTTAACGTGTGGGCACTTTGGAAGTTGGAAACAATAATTGCATTGCCTGGTCCCCGATTATTGTATTGGACATACTGTATATCATGACAGACCCTCGGCTCTGTCGCTCTACTTTGTCCTACAAAGTGTAACACTGAACATTTTAGACAGGTCAATTTGCAATATAACTTTGGATGGGGGCCCAAGATCAAAACCCACCCATAAAATTTGTGGATTTCTACCCCGTATATTGTTTTAAAATGTGAACAATTGAATAATCTCGATACTCACACGTCAGTCTAATCAGGATTACATAAATAAAAAATTTGCTTTGTATTATTTAAGACTCACTTCACCTTTTTTCTATTTGGAAAGGCCATACTTTAGGACAGCATGTACCATGTAAAGTTATCCCTCGTTTTATGCGGTAAATGCTTTCCAAAAGAGGGCGTACAAAGCGAAACTGCACGAGACAGCTGCCTGCCAAGTAGTGCACACAGTACACGCGGTAGATATAGTACACACAATGTTGTCCCACGTCCGACCGCAAAGCCGTAGGTGAGTGAATTCAAACCTCATGAAGCGAATTTTGGGAAGAAATAGGTTTGCCGCATATATGCGAAATCGCAAACCGAACCCGCAGAAATCAAGGGAAACCTGTATATATGAACCAAACATGTAAATATCAACGATAAATACATAAAGGCTTTTTTAAAAAAAATATTCCTGACGGGGGGTGGGGGGTTTTAGTTTTGGTTCACTGTCTCGTCGTCTGTGAAGAGTGGTTTGCATTTCATCTGATATATATTCATGCATTTGGGCCCTCAAAAGGTGGGGGAAGGCTGAAATCGGTTAATTGTACAATCATATAAAAAAAGAGTAATCATACAATCTTTTGTTTTAAAAACGTCCAAATGTGACTGCAACGCAAGAAAATACAAAAATAGTGAGCATATTTAAGTTGTAGATACAACCAGCTATAGGCAGAGGGGGGGGGGGGCAAAAGGCTGGACTTGAATAAAGGGCAGGGAATCCACAGCCGGTGTTATTTCAGGAATATTTTTATGTTTTATACTGGATTTTCTGTTTGCAAATGCACAGTCACTTTAAGATGTTTTCTTGTTCATGTTTTTGTTTGTTGCGGTTGCACCCGATTCAAGAGCCGAATGGCTCACAGGGCTATACCAAATAAATGAAACTATGAAACTAAACTAATGGCTGTGGGAGGGAGTTCCAGACGAAGGGGCAGCATAGGGGAATGAGCGACCTCTTACTGAGCAAACGTTGGACAGGGGGCTTGTTTGATGAAGCGACGAGTCCGTGAAGAGGAGTTCATTGAGTTGAGAGGGGAGAGGTAGGGAGAGGCGAGTCCCTGAAGAATCTTGGAGATTGTGTGATCTTGAAATGTATTCAGATTTGGCTTTGGAGCCAATGGAGCGACGAGTTTTTCGGTGATGTGGTCACATTTATGGGCGTGGGTGACGAGTCTGGTACAGGTATTTTGTATCTCGAGTATGGAGATGAGCAATTTTGGGAGGCCATAGCGGATAATTGCAATGGTTGAGTTGTGGTCATAGGTAAGTGGGTTGAGACCATTAACGGACTCTACTTGGGTAAATGGGTTATTTAATGGTGGCTCAATCGCTGTGTACAGCTTCCTGTGTCAATACGATAGAGGTGCAACTCGGTCAGAATCCAAACTGAGAGCAAAGAAATAACGTCATAGCTCACTCCATTGTAAGCAACATGAATTTGCAATCTCTCCGCACCAAACCATATAAACTCCGGAACCATTGAATGGAATCAAATGTCAAAGTTTAATGCTTCTTTATGAACTAAAACAATTGGTTAGTATGTACTACTTCACATGCATTTGCTAAGCGTATTACAAAAACACAAAGGAAAATTAAGAAACACAAGCTGGTCAAGCCAATATTATATGTGGGCCTTCACACATCTAAATACTCTCTAATAGATCACAGCAGGGAGGGAGTTTGTTATCGTTGTTATTAAGTCTGGGCGATCACGACATTAAGATAATTGCTACAGCATTCAGCATAGCTTGTCCTGTTACGGCAACATTGTTGTCTTGGAAAGTGTGCTTAAAAAAAGCTCAAGATGCAGTAATAACTGGGGCTACACTTTACAAGGTGAATGTGTAATGACAGGCAGGGCAGGGCAGACACTCGCCCAGGTTATGCCAATACAAAGGTACCGAATGCCAAACTTGGAACGTTCACGCAATGCAAATAACATTCTGGCACCAGACCTTTCCCCTCCAAATATTGCCAGCGAAGACGAAAAAAAATCCATACAAATTGCTGAGTACTGAAATGGCAATAGCTGTTGGAAGCAATGAAGCCATTGTGTCATTTGTGGTGTCCTCTTTCATGATCATACCCTTTTCCAAAATCTGATTTTTATCACTTAGGACGGTGTCTCAATATAACTATTTAATAGTGTTGGATTCTTTTTTTCTTCAGAACTGCCCGTGCTGATTTAAAATTGTCGAACTTGCCTTTTACATGCTATTTTACTTGCTAGGGCTGTCAAGAGAGAGACCGGCAAACTTATTTTAATACATTAAACATCTGCGGGGGGGAGACAACGGTAGTTTACCGTTTGCCTTTAAGCCAGAATGGATGGCTTCTCCAGAGTACTTTAGTAGTACAGCGCATAAGCGGTGACTCAAGATGCAGCCCAGAAATGATGAGATTGACGCCTGTTCAGATGCTTCCACACCACGTGTAGAAATGAAGTGAGAATATTTGGAGCAACCGCAACTGCCCAGTTTGGAAGTGGACGCAGAGCAATGGGAGTAGGTCCCCCTCTTAAAGCTTGAACATTTGGTCAAATGTGGACGTTGGTTGCTTCTCGACCATTGTTAAAGAAATCCGGTCACAGCCTTTCCCTTTTAAATCACTGGTATATCAAACAGTGATGAATACAGAACATGGATCTTAAATGGCATTAATAAACGCTCGAACAACAGCTTGCTTAGTATCCTTTCACATTACTGATGCCGTGTTGGTTTCTGAAGCTATGTTTTGCTGATGATACTGAGAAGTTGGAACTTGAAACTGGTTCAACGTTTCCCATTAAATGGGGGCATCCATTGGAATTGGTTAATGCGGTCAAACTTAGCTGACGAGGCTTAGTAAAGTTTAAAACCATTCCATGCTTGACTTGTTTTTATTGAAACACATGCCTAAGGGAAACAAGATAATAATGCCCTCTGACTTACTTCTGTTCGACAATTGAACCTTATTACCTATATAATGTTTTTTGAAACGGCAAACAAAATGAAGGTATGGTTATCAAAATTACACCACAAAAACCAAAGTAGCTTAATTTCGTGTTTCTGTATGTATGCATGTTGAACTTATTTTGCATCATACGTAGCCAACCGTGCTAATTGGAGTTAGCTAAAACAATATCCTTCCAATATAAAATCCCTCCCTAAAATTAGGTCAAAAATAACTCTGCAACAGGAACATACCGGGAAGTTCAAGCCACACAAAATCACGACTGTGACGTTCTTATTTAACTTTCAACCATTTCGTTATCCGTGTGAACACATTTGAACCTGTCAGCCATGTTGTCAATGCCAAAACGAAGTCATTGACTACACGCGCACAATAAAATCGTACACATGTAACACAGCAAGGGTGGTATAAGACATTCCGTATCGATACCGTTCTTCTGCCTTGCTGGCAGCAAGCTTCTACCACACTTCTCTAGGTGAAGCTTACAACAAAACGCTAGCTGTATTATTAGTAGCAATACATACTTAAAATAACAGAGTATACAAAATGTATAAGCATTGTAAATGAAAATGATTACTTTTAAAAACTAAACTATCAAACAGACGGACATTTTAACATTTAGAAAATTCTGGTTGTGGGGGCCTGCATACGATGATGGCCTTACACAGCAGACGGTGACAGTGTTTTAGCATCTGCTTTTCACAGGACACGCACAATGCGGATGGTTATAAAAGGGTGACGGGATTTGAACTAAACCATAACACCAAGTGCCACGATTAACTTGAGGGAGCCACAACCCTGGCCATGAACACCAAACTCTCCAGAGTTACTAAATATTTCTTCAGATGTTGGGTGTACTCGTCCATGTTCACCCACCTTATGAAAAGTGATACACGTTGGCATGTTAGTTTAACAAATAAATGCGTTGCAAGAATCGATTTATTTTGTATGTTCATCACCGACCGCGATGTCACAATTTTTATTGTTATGGGAGTCATGTAACAGAGAGAATAAAAAGTAATTCCAGAACTCCTATAATCAGCAGAGGCTAGAAGGGTGGCAGCATAAAACTACACAACAAAACTATTTCAAATAGGATCCCCTTCAATCATAGTCCTTTATTACAGAAGAGACCAGGAATTAGCAGTGAGAAGACCACAACATTTGTCTGGCAATGTGTTCTACCATAATATCAATCTCTACACTGCCCTGCTGACAATGCATTCACTGTTAATGTCAGGGATGAATGCATGTCTTTTTAGAGGGGACATTATGTCGTCCACTGACTTTAGAATGGACATTAAAAAAGTTTTTGCATCGCTATTGGGACAAGTGGGCCAATGTATGCCGGCGGAAGGCAAACAAAATTTGCCTGGAAGATTAGCGGCGACTGTATACTGTGACATAAAAGGGGTTAGAGAGGGAGTGCATTAAAAAAATAATGGGCCACTGGTAACTAAGTGGAATTCACACAGCCTCAGGGAAAAGGACCAAGGGACATCTCAACTACATAAACATGACTACAATTGTGTTACTACTCGATTACTCGTCGTGGTGTGGCTACGACTAGAGGCCTGGATCGGCACAAAATCCCACGGGGCTCCGGGAGCCCAAACCAGGCACTCCCGAGGAATCCTAACAAATATGTGCACGCGCGCGAGTCGCACGCGCGTGCACACACGCGCACGCAGAGCACCTTCAATCGTCGGTGAGCCACGGTGTACGTCGTAAAGCACGCCGGGCTCAAACAAGATAATAAAAAATAAAAATACCACCGTTGTGCCGCTAAACTAGCGTGCGACACGCACGCAACGAGACCGGACATGTTAATATCACTCATGAAGGCCCAAAAAACGAAACGTTAAAGAAGAACAAGAAAAAAACTGTATCAAAGACACCTCAAGGCTTTTTCTAACCAGGGGCTGCGCCGTCGTACAGGCCTAGTGCCGTCTGGGCCTCATCTTTCGTGCGGGTGACGCCGCAACAACACCCTTCACGGCGGTGGCCTTGCGCGCGGCCGGAGATCCTTTCTTGCTCGCCTTAGCGACCCCAGAACCTGCCGCCGCCTGCTTTTTGCCGGCGGTTTTGGGCGTCGCGTCGCTCTTGGCGACGGCTTCAGCCTTGGGCTCGGCGGTTTTGGCCGGAACCTTCGCCGAAGCGACCTTGAACCTGGTCGCAGCCTTAGCGGCGACGGTGGGGGGCGCCGGCGCGGCGGCGGCGGCGGCGGCGCCGGCGCCGCGTGACGCGCGGCCGCCGCGTTTTTGCCGCCCGGCGGGGGCGGCCCTGCCTCGCGACGCCACCTGCTTGGCAGGGGTGGCGACCGCGGCTGGCGGGGCAGCGGCGGAGCGGCTCGCCCGCGCGCCGCGCTTGGCCGGCGCGCGGGCCCTGGCGGCCGAGCTCCGCTTGCGGCCGTGGGCGGCGCGGCCCGACGATGCGGAGGACCGACGCGGGGTCTTCTTGGCGAGCACCGAGCGAGGTCTGGGGGGCACAGGCGTAAGGTCAGGGCTGCGACTGCTCTGTGACGCGCAAACTCCAGCAAGTAGCGCACTTCAGTTGGCGGCTGACGTTCCAAGTGGATTGCGACCATCAAAGGAATGGTGCCGTCCCCCGTGGTCGCCCGCCCCGCCCCCCCCCCCCACCCCGATCCGTGGATCGGACAAATCACCGAGGACACGGGTGTATGCCGCAACAGTCCTTCGCCGGCTACACGTGATGAATGAGCGTGACTATAGCAGGCGCTGCGTTGGTGCTAAAGCTATTGTTGTGACAGCAGCCTTGAAGGCGAGTGTATTCGTCCTTCGGTTGCTCCACCAACCTTAATGTCAGTGCTAAAGGTCTTGTTAATGTAACAGGCTTAGCGCTGGTTTGCTAATCCCACCGTTAAGATAATTATTGCGCCGATGATATTGTTACGACAGCAGGCGCAGGAGAGGGGATGAGCCGTCGCACCTCTTGCGTGCCCGAGTATGCTTTGGCTCAGAGTAGTCGCTCTCAGACTCCTCGTCCTCATCATCATCGTCCTCCTCATCATGCTCTTCCTCCTCTTCATCCTCGTTGGCATCTTCCATGTCGTCATCTGTGTCTCGGCCGGCTCGGCCCTCCAGCATATCCTTGTCCTCTGGGAAGAGAATCAGGGGGCTGCAGAGATGCACAGATACAGGGTTAGAGTGTGGGTGCACCGTGAGTGGAAGCACGAAGTGTGACGTATGTGCGTGTGTTTGAGGCGCTGTGCGAGTGTGCGTGTGAGGTGTGAGCATGTGGGTACGTGCAGGTACGCGGAGATACGTGGTGTATACGAGGTTGTGTGTTGTGTATGTAAGGTGTGTGGGGTTTAGGTGTGTGGATACACTGTGTGGTTGTGTAAGGTGTGGGATGTGGGTGTGTGGATGCAGTGTGGTTGTGTATGTACGGTGTGGATGCACTGTGCAGGTTGTGTATGTACGATGTGGGTGTGTGCATGCACCGTGTGGTTGTGAGGCACAGGGTATAGGTGTGTGGTGCACCTGGGGTAGTACGGGAATGCGAGGCGGTAGGTTCCACTGAAACCGTGACCCGAGATCTGATCGATCCAGCCGTTACGCACGCACTTATGCAGCACGCGCTTCAGCACGTGGGCTGTACACAAACATAAGTACACACGCACAAAAAACACATCAATCAATATACAAAGAGTGGCCATACATACTACAATCACACAAGAAAACGTAAATGTACATCTTTATTATTACAGCTTCCGTCCTAGGACGGGCAAAAGGCTAATTGAAGGTCAGTTAAATACAATGCTACAGTGACATTAAGTTAGGCATTTTATGACCTAGTTTGTGCAAGCATCACTGCCATTAATACAGTGAAATTCAGGCTATAGTCTACATTACAGTGCCAGTACACTCACCCAGCTTAATAACCATTGCTACAGTCTACATTATAGACTGCCAGTACACTCATGCCGATTAAGAACCAGGCTACAGTCTACATTATACTTTTTTGTTTATTATTATTTTTATATATATTTTATTATAATTTTTCTATCTACGTGACTTTACCGAAAGAAGCAAAGAATATTAATTCCTGCAGCCACGGAAGTTAAAAATCAAAACTTAAACAATGTTTGTGTTTCATATAGTTCAGGCTTTTCCACTTTAGTCTCCACTTTAGTATTATTATTAAACATATAATGGAAATTTGAATACAACTTTTAAAACACACTTCAGAGGAAAAAGGCACAATTCAAGTTGGTTTAGCCTTTGTGTTTTCAGAAATACAGGATAGAACAGTCTGAAATTCATGCTCATTGTAGGTAGATATCCATACTGGTCACAGAGTTAAAATCCCACAACTCACCATATTTTTCACAAGACCAGATCTCCAATAATTAAGGTCAATCAATTAATTGGATAGTAAGTGACTCAAAAGTGCCAAGCTATTTAACGTTTTACAGCTTTCCAACCCGAAGGTCAAATGAGAGAGGAAGAAGTAACATTCTAAACTCAACTATTTTTTATATTACCAGGTAAAGCTCCAATGTTTGCAGCAATGCAGTTCCATTCAAACTCCAGAATATGTTTTTATTCACGTGGTTGTTAATATTTTTAATATAAGTTGGATTTTTTCTTCCCAGAAGATTAGGTCAGAACTGCTCTTCAATCGGCCTCTTCTTTATCCAACCGAGCCGTATACATGTACAGCAAAGCGCTTGTCACATTGTCAATCAAATCAAACATTTTAATTTAAGACGAAAAAGCATCTGGCTGAAATAATAACACAATATTTGTGTGTGTGTACAGTCATTGGTATGGAGAGTGGTAGGTTGGAAGTTAGGGAGCTGCACGACGAACCTGGCATCCCCAGTTCGATTCCCGCTCATGGTCAACACCAGTGACAATTATCTGAACCGGTCCTGGGCCTCCCCTAGGTCGACTCAGCCTCAAATGAGTACCTGGTGCAGTGAGTAAACATCGCCATTGAGAAGACGAAGACGGCCGGGCGTGGTGTTGGCCACCTATCCCCTCGTGTGCCGTACCAGCCTTCATAGGTGTTTGTTAACAGCACTTGCCCCAACACTCTGTTAAGGCTATGCGTGGGATTATTGTCTTTGAGAGTCATTAGTGACTAGGCTTAAAACAACAAACTCACGACACTTGCGAGGTTAGTTCAATGACGATAGGTGGCCGACACCTGAATTCAAAACTAGGATAGCAGCGGTGCCGGGCTCGGTGCTCTTCACAACATTTAACCCTCTGTGACAACCGGGGGCCCACATCTGCAATGATCTTTTTTTTTTATTCGTCGCAGCGCCCACGCAGCCCTTACCCTTGACGCCATCCGCAGCGAAGTGCTTGCGTAGTGCCGTGGCGGACGCCGTTTTGGGCTCATTCATCGCCACAATCGCCGTTGAAATGGCGCGCTCCAGTGGCTGCCGTGGAAACGGAGACCTGGGCGAGAGCTGGGGGCGGCACGGAGTGAGAGAGCGAGGACAGACGTGAGGGAGGCGGGGAGATCACAATCTTTATGTAACGTGGAGAAATCCGATGAGCTATAAAGCTCTTTTCCACAGATCTCCTGGTGTCACCAAGGGCCTGGGGTACAGCTGTTCAACGAAATGTGCCGCCCGCTTTGTACCGAACATCATAAATGCAGTATCGACTCTGCAACGTTTGAACTCAGGAATTTGGCATCCTTCCAGAGATGTGCATTCGAGGCGAAAATGCCACGGACAGGTCAGTGGAGAATGACTTAGCAGGTGCTCGCTGCGTGCATTTATCCCCAACGTCAGCAGTGGCATCTGTGTCTGCACGTGTGACTGTGTTACTGCTTGAGTGTAACGTTAAGCGTGTGAATAGAGGCAAGTGTGTGTGTGTGTGTATACGACTGTGTGATTTAGTATTTTGTATGTCTAACAATTTGCAGTATTCAGTTATTCTGATATCCTGGAGAAATCTGATGAGCTACGAAGCTCTTTTTTTTTTACAGATGTCCAGTAGGGGCAGGACGAAGTTACAACAAACAATATAAAACAATAGGAGTGCAAAGTATAGGTAACTGTAAGCAAATCACAAAAAAATACAAATATATAAGTTCAAATTGCACAAGTACACCAATTCCCAAGCTTGGGCAAGGCAGAAAAACAACACGCATGTCGCACAAGATTGTTTACGTGTGCAGGTGTTTGTGTAATAGCCTGAACTTAATTCATCATAGTTAAAAACTCTCGCTGCTCATCATCCAAGTCCTACACTCATTGTTTTCCAAGACAAAATCTTACCTATAAAAGACATTTTTGTCTGTCTGTGTGTGGCCGAAACTTGCGAAGGATTTGGCTCGCAAACCGTGGGGTTTACGTATTTAAAAAAAATAGCCAGGTACCACACCATAAGCCCTGTGCTGAGCCAGCGCTATTCCGATTTCACGTCCGTCACCTTTAAAGTAGTTTAATTACCGATTTAGTGCTGTTTTCGGTTATTAATTTCTTACATAGCGCGTGCTCGACCCTACCAACTCACACGTGTTCAGTGGGGGGGGAGGGCCCCTACCAAGTCGCGCGTTTGAGAGGGGAATTATCAATTCTAGATTTAAAGCTTTCGTGACTGCTAGGATCCATACTCTTTGGTTCTATTGGGTAAGGTCACGTAGGTGAAAATAAAATAACAAAAAATCACGACGTTTCGGCCACAACACAAGTGGCCTTCTTCAGGTGAAAGGAACAGACCCGTCGGGACGACAGAGCTTCAATGAACGTTAAGATTCATAGCGTCTTTTTAAGCTGGTTTAGAGTAGCGAGGCACCTTGACAAAGGGGTTTACATATAAAACAGGAGAATTTAGCATTGAAATAGCTGAGTGATTAGCTTGTGACTGGTCGCAGAAATAGCCATGTTAAAGCCAAAGCTTACACATCCGCAGAGGCACCTAGTACAAATCAAACAGGATAATTTAGCATTGAAATAGCTGAGTGATTAGCTTGTGACTGGTCACAGAAATGGCTATGTTAAAGTCAAAGCCTACACATCCACAGAGGCACCTAGTACAAATCAAACAGGAGAATTTAGCATTGAAATAACTGAGTGATTAGCTTGTGACTGGTCACAGAAATGGCTATGTTAAAGTCAAAGCCTACACATCCACAGAGGCACCTAGTACAAATCAAACAGGAGAATTTAGCATTGAAATAGCTGAGTGATTAGCTTGTGACTGGTCACAGAAATGGCTTTGTTAAAGTCAAAGCCTACACATCCACAGAGGCACCTAGTATAAATCAAACAGGAGAATTTAGCATTGAATTAACTGAGGGATTAGCTTGTGACTTGTCAGAAATAGCTATGTTAAAGTCAAAGCCTACACATCTACAGAGGCACCTAGTACATGGACGCCAAAGGGGCTGCAACAACTCAACAACTCGACTATCATATAGTAAACCGATGTGAAAAACCCTAAGTCTAAATTACATCAATATAATAAATGTACTCAATATATTCTTCAATAAGCTGAGCTATTAACAGTAACTGGGTATACACTACACTATATAATGAATACCATATAGTAAACCAATAAAAACTCAAATATAAACTACCTCAGTGTTATCAATAAACTCTATATATTCTCCAATCATTTATTTGCCGCTCTTGGTCGTGGCAAATGTTTGCACCAAAATGGCTGAACACCCTCGCAGTCGCTCTTAAATATTTACTTATTATACACGCGTGCATTTCCCCTCTCCCTTGCTTCTTTGGCTCAAGTCACGTACATAGAAAACTGTTATTTACAAACTTTGGTCTATATAAAAGTTAGAGTGTGCGTGTGTACGTCCATGTGTGCGTGTGAGTCCATATATGCGTGTGAGCTGTGTCTGTACGAGTCCGTGTGTGTGCGCCAATGTGTGTTTAAGTCGATGTGTGTGTCAGTCCATGTGTGTGTCTTAGCCGATGTGTGTAAGTCCATATGTATGTGTGTATGAGTTTATGTATGTGTGTGTTTAAGTCGATTTGTATGTGTGTGTGGGTCCATGTGTCAGTCGATGTGTGTGTACGTCGAAATGTGTCTCTGCGTGAGTCCATGTGGGTTTTTAAGTCGATGTGTGTGTGCAAGTCGATGTGTTTGTGTGTGGGTCGATGTGTGTGAATCGATGTGTGTGTGTACGTCGATATGTGTGTGTGTGTGTTTGAGTCCATGTGTGTGTGTTAGTCCATGTGTGTGTTTGTGCAAGTCCAAGTCCATATGTGTGTGTGTGTGTAGGTCCATGTGTGTGTGGCTATGTATGTGCGTGTGAGTCGATGTGTGTGTGTCTAAAGTTGATGTCTGTGTGTAACTCCGTGTGTGTGTGTGTGTGTAAGTAGATGTCTGTGTGTTTGAGTCCAAATGTGTGTGTGGACATCGATGTGATTGTGTGTGTGGGTCGATGTCTGTGTGTGTGGAAGTCGATGTGTGTGTGTGTGTGTCTTTTTCGCCCGGGCAACGCCGGGTACTTCCCGCTAGCCTCCGAGAAATAAGAACAATGAATTGACAGTCCGCCACCTCGTGAAAACCCCTCCCCTGTAATGTGACTGCTAAATCCCTCTCTAAAGTAGCCAAGCTCTCAAAGCTTGCAAAAATGAAATTGTTGCGTGATTATTTGTAATTGTATGTAATTGGGAGTGGTTGTGCGTGATTGTGTGTGGTTGTGTGCAGTTGTGTTGGGGGAATGGTAGTGTATTGGTTTGTGCGCTCTGCTACAAACCCGGCGACCCGAGTTTGATTCCTGCTCACGGCAAACAGCAGTGACAATTATCTGAACCAGACCTGCGGCTCCCCTCTAGGTAAACTAAGCCTCAAATGAGTACCTAGTATGGTGCGAAAACATCACCACTGGGGAGGTAAAGGTTGCTGGACATGGTGCTGGCCACTCACCCCCTCGTGTGCCGTGCTGTCCTTTAAAGGTGCTCGCTAACATCACTTGCCCCAACAGTCTGTTAAGGCTATAGTGGGGATCTGTCTTTGCAGTTGTTTCTTTGTGTGGTTGATTTTGTTGTTTTTGTCTTTGCATACGATTGTGTGTGACTGTGCATGGTGGTGCATCATTGTGTGCGGTTGTGTATGATTGTACTTGGTTGTGTGTAACTTGGTGTGGTTTGTGTGCAGGCCGGAACCTGGAATGTCCCAGAAGCTCCTTTGCCTGTGATTTGCTCCAGCTGCCCTTTCCCAACGCAGCGCTGTAGAGCTTGCTTCAGCATGGTGGGTCTAGATAGAAGCACACACACAACACAATCATTCCCCACCCATTCAGCCTGCTAGGCTATCTGGAACGGTACTGTTAGGGAACACTTATTAAGGAATACACAGAACACAAATGAGGGAATGCTGGCCACAACCAAAGAGATGCACCATACAAGCATGCAGATTACACCGCAGCAGGAATTAATTTTAAGCTAAGTTTACCTATGGGTGGCCCAGGCCAAGTTGAGTTGCCAGTTGCTAATAAGTGTGATTAATGTTCAGGTTTCAAACCCGTGTGGTCAGGACCACAGATTACAGTGTGCGAATTATTGACACCACTATTCCCCCACATTCAACATATGTATATACACACATATTCCTATGTATGCAAGTACTCACGTGTTTGCATACGCACAATGCAACTCACACAAATAACTTTTGGTGAGCAACCATTTAATGCTGCTTTCCGTACACTTGAAGAGTGGCTGCTCAGACATTGCATTGCGTGGGCTTGGTACATCAACGTCCACCTCAGCCGTTACAGGGCGCTAAAAAAGAATGATGTCTCCCGAAGAGCAGAAGCGAAATACCCAGGGAGTCATTTGTAAGATCACAACGCGTGATTATCTCTCCCCAGCAGACCTGAGCACTGCATAAACATGCCATTTGTGTTTGAATGAGGACGGGTGAACGCGGCAGTAGTTGGATGTGGCATGTGCTGGAGGCGGATAAGTCCAGTTGCTCACCTGTCACCCACGGGCAGGTGCTGATAGTGTTGCAGCAGGTACTTGCGGATAAAGGCAACCGATGCCTCCTTGGGCACGCAGACGCGCGTAAACGCCAATGGCAGGGCATCCTCCAGCTTGGTGGGAGGAACGACTGCCTGGGGACCCTGGTGATTGCACAAGGACAAATATCCCCCGTAAAGCCTTAACAAATGTTCTTGCCGTTGGTTTTTCACACCTGATGATGACTGCTTGTGTTGCAGTCGAAACGTTGTGAGAATTTTATTGTTTTAAATATATTTTATTGTTTCCCTTCAACGTGACTTTACCGAAAGAACCAAGGATATGAATCACTGCAGTCACGAAAGCTTTAAATCAAAATTTTAAATCCTTAACAGACTGTTGGGGTAAATGCTGTTAGTGAGCACTTATGAAGGTCGACACGGCACATGACGGGGTGGGTGGCCAGCATCACGCCCGGCCGCCTTTGTCTCCTGAGTTGCAAAGTTTACACACTGCACCAGTTACTCATTTGAGGTCAAGTCGACCTAAAGAGGCCCAGGACCGGTTCAGATAATCGCCACAGGTGTTAGCCGTGAGTGGGAATCGAACCGGTGTCGCCGAGTTAATAGCGCAGTGCGCCAACTGCTACACTACTGCTCCCCATTGCACACACATGCAAAAAGATCCCGTTTAGTCGTACACGCCTCTTCCACCAGCAAGTCCAAGCCGAGCTAGCGCAGGGCCCTCACGGTAGGGGTTGTTTTACACCGGCGATTTGGCATGCCGAGCTGGAACGAAACTGTGATACGCCTGCCTCACAAGATGTCTGAATCTCGCTCAGGGTAAATCAGGGGCAGCGGTGAAACTAATGACATCTATTGCATGTGTGGTATGTCAGTCTGTACACTGTGAGGACACAATGTCGTCGAGTCATAGAAAACCATCTTCACTCGTTCATTGCATGGGGAACAGCTCAGATTCTGCAGTGGAAAAGCAACTTGGCACTTCTTGAGCTCAACTGGGCTTGCTTACGACTCCTCAGTGCGGCTCCAGCGATGCTGGGGCTATTAGCCAGCACCTACGAACATCGCCACGGAACAAGAGAGAGTGGTGTGGTCAGCACCATGCCCGGCTACCTTTAGTCTCCCCTGAGCTGATGTTTTAGACACTGCACCAGGTACTCAATGAAAGCCAAGTCAGCCTGGGTAAAGCATATGACAGCTTTACAGTGAGGGAAAGAAGTATTTGATCCCCTGCTGATTTTGTACGTTTGACCATTGACAAAGAAATGATCAGTCTATAATTTTAATGGTAGGTTAATTGAACAGTGAGAGAGAATAATAACAACAAAATACAGAAAAACGCATGTCAAAAATGTTATAAATTGATTTGCATTTTAATGAGGGAAATAAGTATTTGACCCCCTCTCAATCAGAAAGATTTCTGGCTCCCAAGTGTCTTTTATACAGGTAACGAGCTGAGATTAGCAGCACACTCTTAAAGGGAGTGCTCCTATTCTCAGCTTGTTACCTGTATAAAAGACACCTGTCCACAGAAGCAATTAATCAGATTCCAAACTCTCCACCACGGCCAAGACCAAAGAGCTCTCCAAGGATGTTAGGGACAAGATTATAGACCTACACAAGGCTGGAATTGGCTACAAGACCATTGCCAAGCAGCTTGGTGAGAAGGTGACAACAGTTGGTGCGATTATTCGCAAATGGAAAAAACACAAAAGAACTGTCAATCTCCCTCGGCCTGGGGCTCCATACAAGATCTCACCTCGTGGAGTTGCAATGATCATGAGAACGGTGAGAAATCAGCCCAGAACTACACGGGAGGATCTTGTCAATGATCTCAAGGCAGCTGGGACCATAGTCACCAAAAAAACAATTGGTAACACTACGCCATGAACGACTGAAATCCTCCAGCGCCCGCAAGGTCCCCCTGCTCAAGAAAGCACATATACATGCCCGTCTGAAGTTTGCCAATGAACATCTGAATGATTCAGAGGACAACTGGGTGAAAGTGTTGTGGTCAGATGAGACCAAAATGGAGCTCTTTGGCATCAACTCAACTCGCCGTGTTTGGAGGAGGAGGAATGCTGCCTATGACCCCAAGAACACCATCCCCACCGTCAAACATGGAGGTGGAAACATTATGCTTTGGGGGTGTTTTTCTGCTAAGGGGACGGGACAACTTCACCGCAAAGGGACGATGGACGGGGCCATGTACCGTCAAATCTTGGGTGAGAACCTCCTTCCCTCAGCCAGGGCATTGAAAATGGGTCGTGGATGGTATTTCAGCATGACAATGACCCAAAACACACGGCCAAGGCCACAAATGAGTGGCTCAAGAAGAAGCACATTAAGGTCCTGGAGTGGCCTAGCCAGTCTCCAGGCCTTAATCCCATAGAAAAGCTGTGGAGGGAGCTGAAGGTTCGAGTTGCCAAACGTCAGCCTCGAAACCTTAATGACTTGGAGAAAATCTGCAAAGAGGAGTGGGACAAAATCCCTCCTGAGATGTGTGCAAACCTGTATGCCAACTACAAGAAACGTCTGACCTCTGTGATTGCCAACAAGGGTTTTGCCACGAAATACTAAGTCATGTTTTCCAGAGAGGTCAAATACTTATTTCCCTCATTAAAATGCAAATCAATTTATAACATTTTTGACATGCGTTTTTCTGGATTTTGTTGTTATTCTGTCTCTCACTGTTCAAATAAACCTACCATTAAAATTATAGACTGATCATTTCTTTGTCAGTGGGCAAACGTACAAAATCAGCAGGGGATCAAATACTTTTTTCCCTCACTGTAGATACCACTTGCCACCTATTTTATCCACGCCCAGAAATTAAACCTGGGTCGAAGATTGTTAAACCACTGCACACAAATACAAGCACTCACACTGCACGCACACAAGTGCACGCACACCACCAAATACAAGACCTATGCATACACAAACATGCACTCAGCAGCAACACGTCCTTTAAAATCCTTTAAGTTTGTACTTTTGTGGTGGATGATGCAAAAAAGCTCCTAAACAAAATTTTGCATGGAATAAATGGTATACACTCACTGAGCACATGTGGACATAAATGCAGCACGGCAAAGGCATGCACACGCACATTGTGAGAACATGCAAGCACACACAAATGTTGATGGAAGAACGATGGTACTACTGCTAAGGGGAGCCATGATCCAGACAGGCCACGCGGTTTGGTGTAGCCGATCCCCCACTGCAGCCGGTTGCGTACATTACAAGACAGACGGATAGGCTGATGTTCTGTACTTCTCATGGCCAGGGCAATGCAGTGTGACCCCCTTCACCTAAAGTTTTTAGACACCAAGTCGTTGTCTGTTGCAAGAAATCCTGCAGGGACCCATAAATACAAAGACACACACACACGTTGAAATGTCTGAAGTGTTGCTCCAACATTACCACCTTCTCTCTCTCTCCAATTGCATCAGGTTTCATTCAACTTGTGTGTGGTTAGACTCACCCTTACTACGGAGTGGATAAGTTCCCCCTTGCTGCTGTGATGTGGATATATGAAAGTTCTAAAGATGTAAATGTGGTCACAATATGTGGAGCAGCCTATACTATGATGTATCTGATGATACTCTGATAATTTATTAAACCAGGTGAGAGCTCATTATCTCTTTTGCAGGAGAGACCTGAGTTACGTGAGAACAATTTGGCCATGATTTTCAATTAAAATGTGAATGAGTGTTTTCCTGACACAGGCACGCAGTGGTGTACTTTTATTCAATGGCATCACATGTGAACTTTATGTAATCTCTAACATTTTCTCACGTTATTTAAAAGGCAATAACACAAAAAACGCTCTTGTCTTTCAGCTCCACACCGAGACTGTGTCTCACATGGTTTAATATTCCTTTTTAAGAAAAAATCCTTTAAAGCAATGCAGTGAATATTGTGGTGTTCACCATGTTTTTATTTGTAAATTTAGTGATGTAACCAGTCACTTTGATGTGATATTTACTCACTTACACAGCTTGACCTCATGTCTTACAGTCATAGGTACAGAGCCAATATGATTACCGACAAGAGCCACTTGTTTCCAGGGTTATGCCCTCCTTTTTACAATGTGTTACTCGTTTCAAAATCATCATGCACGTATTTAGTCTTTAAACTCATCGCACCAGTTAATATACATTGACTAAAGTTAAATTAGGAGTGCTCAATGTACCCAGACACACGGTGCATTCTCAGATCTCTCCAAATGATTGCACACCGCTAAATATTTAAAGTAAATTCGTCAGCTCACTCAGTTGCGTCGTGTAACCTATCGATGGAACTGATGGAGCACGAACCCTCGTGTCCGCTCACCTGGGTACACGCGATGAGGATCTAATAAAGGCCAAGTGAAGCTGGTGGCTGGAGGTGGGTGGGTGCTGTGCAATGTGTGCTGCTTAGTGCGTTACCGTTTTTCCATTTGCACGGGCACTTGGTTTGGACAGCTCAATCCGGCCCGAGGCCCCTTTTCCTGTGAGCTGGGGGAAGGAACAAAAAAATTACAAGTCACACACATACACAATTGCCATTTACAGCCTACGTGGACTGTTTACACACCGCACTCTGCAATTATTTAAAGCCGAGTGACTCTAGGTGAAGCCCTGGACTGGTTTTCCACTGATGTTATCCAACGCCAGGAAACAGAGCCCAGTCGCCAGGTTCAGTGAAGTGCACCAACTACTATGGCACTGCTCCCCCAAGGACAAAGATCCCCCATATAGCCTTAACAGGTTGTTGAGAAAAGAGCTGTTCACGAGCGCCTATGAAGGCACACAGATACACACACAAGCACATGAACATACATAAGCACACTGGACATGAACAGAAATCACTGTCCAAGCATTTCACACCAGCTTGCCTTCCACAAACAAGCATACACCACCAACACAACACATATAGAAAGACCCCCCCTACAGCCTTAACATAATGTTGGGGCAAGTCCTGTTAGCAAGAACCTATGTGGGGATGAATACACACCACACGAGGTACTCATTTGAGGCTGAGTCGACCTAGGGGAGGTCCAGGATCGGTTCAGACATTCCTCACTGGTGTTGGCCGTGAGCGGGAATCGAACTCCCATATACACTCACTCATTCTCATGCAATCACCTATTGCCAAATCCTCAATTTCATCCTCATGCTTACGCTGTATCACTCTTTCACCCTCACAACCTCCCTTTGTCTTTCACATTTCCACTTCTGAATAAGAGCTACAGTATATAGCTCAGTGGGCCTTACCTAGTAAAATAAAAAAAAAACCGTACTCGCACTCCCCACCCTGACGCTATCCGCCCCATCGCACCTGGCGGATACGTCCGCGCTCACGCTCGCGGCTCAGCGCCTGCTTCAGGAGGTAGCCACGGCGCTGCAGTCCCAGGCCCGGGTACTCGGCCACGATGTACTTCCTGATGGCCACCACGGACGCCCCGCCGCGCTGCGCGCAAGCCTGGTCACACCCCGCATGGACCAGGACCACCGGCCGTGACGCGCGCCACACAAAAAACACGCGCACAAAAGATCCGCGCGTAAGCACACGCAGTCATTGCATGCGTAGTCCATGACTACACACACACACTGAGGTTGCGATTTGATTTAACAATCTAATTTGTGCCGTTTTTACCATATTATTTGGATTGTTTATCTTTTCCCGGTCTCATTTGGAGTCTTGTCTGTGGCATGAGCTTAAAAATTACATGAGCATATGCTTTTCATTAAAAGTATAAAATGCACATAAATAATTGTCAGACACACATTATTCAATGCATACATCAAGTATAGGAATGTATTTTAAGTTGACAAATCATTACATGCCTATGAGCACGCATGCGATAACTTGTCACAAATCGGTGTTGCGATTCAAATTTTTAATATATATTTTTGACTGGGTTGTACTGTGGTGTCATTCATATTGCCGCAACTGCACGTGTTGTATGTTCTGTCTCGTTCATTCCATTAGTTTATAGTAAACAAGTGCATACATTCTGAGATGCGGTCGTATTTAGATGCTATATAAATCCAAATTGTATTGTAATTGACAAAAATGGCATATGATAAATCGTGTCTTATGCGCAAGCTTTGATGCATAGAGAATTGAACCGAGGGTAGGAATCTCTTTTAATCAACTGTCGTGACCCTATTTCTAAATGTATGTATAGTCCAAGCTCGCATGCATGCATGTTATGCTAATGTTATGGACGCGCCGACTGTGTGCGCGTTACGAGCAATTGTCCGTGTGTACGTGTATGCGTGTTCGTGCCTGCAGCGCCTCGGTCAGGATGGCAGCCATCTTAGGTCGGTTGGACGCAACGCGGCACGTGCCGCGTTGCACCAGTGCATTCTGGGAGCTCGTGAGGCTGGCCCAGGAAGGAATGATGCGGCGCCTGCACACAAGATAGATGACAATCTCACTTTTTTTACAAGCCAAACCTTCGCAGCGATTATAGCAGAAACACGCGGGATAAGTTGTAGGTCAGACATTCATGTATGTGTGAACAGCCCATTGTCAATCCACTGCTGAATGAGGGCCTCCCCATGCCATGTGGTCGTGGAGTTTATTTTACTATAATTTCACCACGCTCATCAGTGCAGGTTGGTGTGAAGAATTCTCATGAAATCAACCATAAGTACAATAGTTAAATTTTCACACCGGCTTGAGACCACCAATAGTAATTACCAAAAGGAGATGACACTTGGATTAAAATGTATTGTTACTAAACACGTATGTATTCACTGACTTTGTGCAGCGTTTGCATTAAGGGTATACAGTAGAGTTTACAGTGTGTTCTGGCACATGCGTTCAAAAGCACCTCTGCTGTGCTTCCTGTCAATATTGGGCTCCTTTGGGCTCAATGTGGAGGGGACTGATAACGCCAACCATGGGCTTCGTGTGCGCCGCACACGGCACACAGTTTTGTTCAAAGTCTAAATAGCCGGAAATGTTAATTAACTATAACATTCTATTTTGTGTGCTACAAATTCTCATTTCAGGAAGACAAAATTTAATAACACCTGGACCTGTGACAATGAATCTCTTAGGGTACAAAGGAATCGCACCGCGCAGTATATTTTTGAAGAACGTCAGCAGCGGCACAAAATGAAAATGCAAATTATGGCAAACATCGGCGAGGCTCTCTCACTTTTGCTTGCCGTCATCTTTCCCTGCACCCGCTGCTTGCACTCCCTTGGCCCCAGACACTGCCCCCTTTGCGGCAGACCCCGCCTCCTCTCCCTCTGGCACCGCCTCCTTGTCCACGGTTTCCACCTCGTCGTTGGCGGTGGATGTGGTGTTGGCGGCACCATCGGTGTCTGCGTCGGGGGCCGCGTCGGCAGCCTTGGGGTCCATGCTCACGAGTGGCTCGGTTCCGTCAGATGGGGGCACAGTCGCTTCACGATCGGCTGGGATGACAATAGCAAGGCGTTATTATGAATATTGGTGATGTACATGTACAACCCTTTCATCAATACACTGGTGGACGAGGGCTTCCGCATTTCGTGCCGGTCATGTTGGTTATGTGGTTATACTTTATTATGCTTGTGTGGGTTGGTAAATAGCAGTAAGCATGGACGGTGAGACGTAGTACATCATGGTTTTGCTTCACTGTTCTTTGTTGATAACATAGCCCTACAGTAGCCCACAACACCTGTTTTATGCATGGTGGTCATCCATCCAAAATTCCTTATCAGGGATATAATACACCGTACACCATCAAATCACTATATGACTGTATATGACCTCAATTATTAGTACCTTTTATCTCCTGCCATTTTACTTGAAAACTTTTCCAGATCTATTTTAAGAGAATGACATGAAGGTAACTTCGATGGACTACGCTGTGCACTCATTTATTAAATACTACAGTTCCTCAATTGCAGGGTTCTTCAACTGGTGGCCTGCGGAGGCTCTTGGAGTGGTCCACCAAACTGTGGACCGCCGACATATATGGCTCGCTGAGACATAAATAGGTAAAGATTAGTGAGATGAAAGAGATATAAACAATAGAAATGAGACAGCTGTAGATAAGGGATAAAGATTAGTGGTCACATGTACAGACGTTATGATGCCCCGGACCCCATTCGATGTTATAATAGATGACATAACGTGGTCCCGCCAGCAAATGCTAATTTTATTACATAGCCAGCCGGAACATATAGATGAAGAATCCTGCTCTATTAAAAGTATATGAAAGGCAGATAATTTATTAAGGTAAATGGCATTAACGTAATCAGGAAAGCCTCGTGAGCTGTTCAAGAGGATCATGCATGAGAATGTTGGACCAATACCTTTAAAATTAGTTTTTTGGATTGTAGGTAATCGGAGTATCCAGAGAAGACTAACAAGTACAAGCAAAAAACATAGGTTTGCACAGATGGGTTCACAAACCCACTTGATGTGCTGCCTTTTCCTGCCCACCTCACAGCCCAGCAGATTTGAGTTTTATAAACCTGCACGATCCATAACGGTTTGCCTCCAAACCGCTGGATCACATAATAGCGTGCACCACCACGTCTGGCTCAAAAGCTTCATTCAGCCTCAGCTACAATCACGTACATGTGCATAGCCGACCGGTGAGTGCAACGCAAGTGTGCCAGTGTGCATGGTACCCTGTATGTGATAACATTGCCTGTGTAAAGCGGGATCACCAACGGTAACAATTTGGGCATCGTGTAGCACTTCTTTTTTCACTAATACTGATCCTGATGCTGTCTGCTGGACAAGGGGAAGATGGTCACCAGCCTCCTGTCTGCAGCAGCTTGACAACTACTGCCGAGCGTTAGCAATAGGAAGGGAGCTCCACTTGTTGGATTGCCAGAAGCGAACACTTGAGTTGGCGTAAGAAGGGCGAACGCTATTACGAACTTCATATTTGCGACTACAGTCCACCAAAGGTGTGTGTACACACACGTATTTCAGCCACAGTACTATTTAAACCAAGTAGTTATGGGTTGGCACAATCCTGAGCACACTGAGACACTTGCACAGCAGTGTATGTGCATGCCAGCATTTACCTTTTGCTTTGGACTGTCCTTGCTTTTGTCTCTTCTTCAAAGAAGGCATGACTACATGTAAAATACACAATTACCGTGTTAATGAAATTACCAAACCCAGAGGGTGACGATTGCCTATTAAAGCCTGAACAGCTTGTGGGGAAAAGCATTAATTGTGGGGTGACATGTCACAGCTGAAGGTGGAACCATATTAAGAATGACAAACATACTACGATGTTCGATCAGTGTAAATGTCTTGTGATGACATGTTATATCTAAAACATGGACAATAATAGTGATCATTGGAACAAAAGCGAAAACGTATGCAAATAATCATGGATAAATGTATGCTGGGATGTATGCTGAGCAGAAAAAAAAATGAAAATCAGAGAATGAATGCAAAATAGAGACATCATGTCTCAAGTGGGATGCACCGCTGGAGGGAATGATAGCAGATGGGCGAGACCGGTGATGGAATGGCAGCCAAAGGATACATGCCAGACAAATAGAACGGCCACAACAGAGACTGAGTGGCTAGATCAACTCATGCACACAAACAAGATGACTTGTGGCATCGCAAGACCATGTGGGATGGCGACGATGCGAGGCCTTCAGCCAGTTGTGAATTGCTGATGACAATAATACAAACGTCTCAAATGAGTCGAAACCAAATTGGGCCTCATCAGAGGTGCAACTTGGCCAATAAACAAAACCCCAAAACATTGCACACGACTGCATACATCTTTGACATGTTAACGATTTTAATTACGCGTTGACTCTCATTGACCAATGTTAAGTCCAATAGGTATGCCTCTTGATTCATTGCCTCCTCCAAAACCATGGTCAAGCCACTACTAAATGGGGGCTTCCCCATCTAGCAGGGCAATGGAGAATTGTTTGACAATGGCTTTACCACGCTGGGCAGTGTGGGTTGCTGATGGCTGAGAGTATTTGACTTGGGAGCATAAAAGTACAGTACAATAATTAATGTTTTTGCACTGCCCTCTGCTGACCACCATGTAGCCCCGTAAACGAGATATAACATTTTGGTTTAAAGAACCAAGAATATGAGATATAACATGTTTTGTGCACTGTGGTCACCCATCCAGGCCCTATCTAGGATCAACTTTGCTTAGCTTCCGAGATGTGACGCGATTTGGGTGCATTTTTGGTTATTTGCTCAAGAGGGGTTCTCATATTAATCTTATTTGATTATTTGCCGACCGCTCCCTTCCTGTGATAACTGAACTCCCTCACGATCAATGCATTTTCTTAGCCAATCATTTTTACTTAATCCCAGACAATTCCTCTCATAGACAACCGCTCTCCACTTTACATCTCCACGATCAATCGATCATTTTCGATTACCAAACGACTGCACCGTACTTGATATCTGCCCGACTAATCGTGTCATGATTAATGTACTAATCCCTCGATTAATCACTTCCATCGACCAGAGCCCTTTTCAACCCTAATCGCTGAGCTTAAGTTGACCCCATGTCAAGGGTCAATTTCCTTCTCGATTAACGCATCGAGGCCAATCGATTTCTTTCTCAATTACCTCCGATTAATCGCTTCCACCCCGAGTAATCGACTCTCCTCAATCCCTATTCCCCCCTCGCACTGCTTTGAAGCACGCAAACCAAAACCCAGACATCCGCTCGCCCTAAGAAACAAAATCCCGCCTAATCGAACCCAGCTCATCGAATCGTCAGCCACGAAGTCATTAATGCCACACCATCCCGAATCGGGACGCATTCCACCTACCTCTCGCTTAGCTAACGGTGCCCCCCCCCACTACCCCTGGCCTCACAAAGCGAGTGTTGTGTTGTGGGGGGTGGAGGAGGTTGCTAAAGCAGCGTTCCTCACTGCAAGGCCAGAGGGCCACTGATAGCCCCAGGTGGCCTTTAGTGCGGCCTCTGACAACACAGAAATTTGAAAATACCCATCCCCCACCCCCGCCGCCACCACCACCATCACCACCACGACTACAGTCGTCGTCGTCAGCATCATCGTTCTGTCAAAGCCAACAATTGTGTTTGAAACGCGTGGCGACTGTCCTCCTCCTCCTCCTCACACGCGCGCGCTGACGATGTCGTCCCTATGGGAGGAAAGTGAAGGGAGCCAACTGTGGGCTGACGCGTCGCAAACCCGACGAGGTATTCTTTGTTGTTGCTACTGCTGCTGTTGTTAAAACTCGGGACCCAGACTGAATAGCGCGGAGTGACTTGAGGAGAGGAGGAGCGAGGAGGAGAGGGAGCGAGGAGAGAGAAGCGACGGCGGCGGTGGTGGTGGTGGTGGCAGAGACGAAGCGCGCTGTCGCCACAGCCGCCGCCATTTTTCCCCGTGCGAGGCGGCCCGCAAGCGAGGGGAGCTGCCACCGCCGCTTGTTTCGCCCGCGCCTTTCTCCTCCTCCTCCTCGTCGTCACCCCCCCCCCCACAACGCCGCCGACAATTGCACGGCGCTACCGAGGAGGAGACGCGGAGCGCGAGAAACCTTTGCCGAGGAGGAGACGGGGAGGGGGGCCCGCCGTTACCTGAGTCAGGAGCGCTACGCGGATCCGGATCCTTGCAGGAGTGAGGATCCGGATCGTACGGGTTATCAATGGGATCCGGATCGCGCCAAAACAGCCACCCCCCCCCCACCATTCTCCACTACCCCTCCCCCATCACTACCACCCACCACCACTACCCCCCACCAACCCCACCCCCCACCAAGCCCCCCACACCAACCCCCACTCACCCACCATCCAACCCTCACTACCCCCCACCACCCCCCACCACCCAACCATCACTACCACCCCCCACCACCCACCACCCCCCACCACCACCACCCACCAACCCCCCCCCACCACTACCCCCCCACCCCATGTTGTAACGTGGGATCCGGTTCCCTGCGTTAAGCGAATGAGGGTCTCGCGTCAAAGTGGAATCCGGATCCTCCGGATCCCACGCGGATTGTAAAAAAAATAATAATGTTATTTTATTTTATTATTTTTATTGAATTAATGTTTTACTTTCCCGCCAGATCTCCATGCCCCCCCCCTCCCCCACTGGTATAGCTATACATAATGCTTAAGTGAAGGAAATTGAGTTTGTCAATGAACAAAAACTAGAAATCTCCGTAAGGAATATACTGGTCTTGTTTTTTTTTGTATTACAAAAGTCCTGAAGAGTGCGCCTAATGAATGAACAGCACAAACTTGCTCACCTCGTACCCTTATAAATGTCAACGTTCATCCTACAAAGTCTCATCACAAGGGAGAAACACAAATAGACACCACGAGTCCACTCACCACCACTACACTCACCATTAGTACACTCACCACTACATACCTGCCAAACCCTTATCAGTGCCCTACCTTACTACAGACCAATTAAGACCTTATTGATCACCTCGTACCCTTATAAATGTCAACGTTCATCCTACAAAGTCTCATCACAAGGGAGAAACACAAATAGACACCACGAGTCCACTCACCACCACTACACTCACCATTAGTACACTCACCACTACATACCTGTCAACCCCTTATCAGTGCCCTACCTTACTACAGACCAATTAAGACCTTACTGGTCACCTCGTACCCTTATAAATGTCAACGTTCATCCTACAAAGTCTCATCACAAGGGAGAAACACAAATAGACACCACGAGTCCACTCACCACCACTACACTCACCATTAGTACACTCACCACTACATACTTGCCAAACCCTTATCAGTGCCCTACCTTACTACAGACCAATTAAGACCTTATTGCTCACCTTGTACCCTTATAAATGTCAACGTTCATCCTACAAAGTCTCATCACAAGGGAGAAACACAAATAGACACCACGAGTCCACTCACCACCACTACACTCACCATTAGTACACTCACCACTACATACCTGCCAAACCCTTATCAGTGCCCTACCTTACTACAGACCAATTAAGACCTTATTGATCACCTCGTACCCTTATAAATCTAAACGTTCATCCTACAAAGTCTCATCACAAGGGAGAAACACAAATAGACACCACGAGTCCACTCACCACCACTACACTCACCATTACATACTTGCCAAACCCTTATCAGTGCCCTACCTTACTACAGACCAATTAAGACCTTACTGGTAACCTCGTACCCTTATACGTGTCAACGTTCATCCTACAAAGTCTCATCACAAGGGAGAAACACAAATAGACACCACGAGTCCACTCACCACCACTACACTCACCATTACTACACTCACCACTACATACCTGCCAAACCCTTATCAGTGCCCTACCTTACTACAGACCAATTAAGACCTTATTGATCACCTTGTACCCTTATAAATGTCAACGTTCATCCTACAAAGTCTCATCACAAGGGAGAAACACAAATAGACACCACGAGTCCACTCACCACCACTACACTCACCATTGCTACACTCACCACTACATACCTGCCAAACCCTTATCAGTGCCCTACCTTATTACCAAACAATTCAGACCTTATTGATCACCTTGTACCCTTATAAATGTCAACGTTCATCCTACAAAGTCTCATCACAAGGGAGAAACACAAATAGACACCACGAGTCCACTCACCACCACTACACTCACCATTAGTACACTCACCACTACATACCTGCCAAACCCTTATCAGTGCCCTACCTTACTACAGACCAATTAAGACCTTATTGATCACCTCGTACCCTTATAAATGTCAACGTTCATCCTACAAAGTCTCATCACAAGGGAGAAACACAAACACATAGACACTACTAGTCCACTCACCACCACTACACTCACCATTACTACACTCACCACTACATACCTGCCATCCCCTTTATGAGTGCCCTACCTTATTACCAAACAATTCAGACCTTATTGATCACCCTGTGCCCTTATAAATCTCAACGTTCATCCTACAAAGTCTCATCACAAGGGAGAAACACATAGACACCACTAGTCCACTCACCACCACTACACTCACCATTAGTACACTCACCACTACATACCTGCCAAACCCTTATCAGTGCCCTACCTTACTACAGACCAATTAATACCTTACTGATCACCTCGTACCCTTATAAATGTCAACGTTCATCCTACAAAGTCTCATCACAAGGGAAAAACACAAACACATAGACACCACTAGTCCACTCACCACCACTACACTCACCATTAGTACACTCACCACTACATACCTGCCAATTATCAGTGCCCTACCTTACTACAGACCAATTAAGACCTTATTGATCACCTCGTACCCTTATAAATGTCAACGTTCATTCTACAAAGTCTCATCACAAGGGAGAAACACAAACACATAGACACCACTAGTCCACTCACCACCACTACACTCACCATTACTACACTCACCACTACATACCTGCCATCCCCTTTATGAGTGCCCTACCTTATTACCAAACAATTCAGACCTTATTGATCACCCCGTGCCCTTATAAATCTCAACGTTCATCCTACAAAGTCCCATCACAAGGCTGTATGCCGAATGGACCTGAAAACTCAATTTCCCTGTACAAAAGTACGGGGTAAACCGTGATGGGTTTACAGCTATGGCAGCAGAGCCGGGTCAATCAAACTCTGCCAACTGCGTGTAAATATGTGGCAACTACTGTACTGTAGAGGCGATAGCGTGGATTTCGGATTAACAGGAGCAGAAACATGTTTGTTCGGTTTAAGCACGGTGTGACTTGTAATAAACATATCCAAGAATAACAATGTAGGACTGTTTCATATTTCTAACTTGGGCTTCAAGGGAATTCCTCGAGTTGTTAATGTATGTCAAAAATCGCAGGTGCCCAGATAATCCGCAAATCGGATGAACCGCACGCAGATATTACTTTAGACTTGAGGAGTAATCTGATGAGTTATAAAGCTCTTTTTTCAAACTGATGTTGCCCATGAGCGGGAATACAACTGGGATGGAATGCGACTGAGAATGACTTAGCAGGCGTTCACTGTGTGTATCACCATCAACATCAGAGGTGGCATATGTGCCCGCGTGTGACTGTGTTACCGCTCGGGTGTAACATTACGCGTGTGAATTAATACATGCAAGTGTAGTGCATACGACTGTATGTGATTTAGTGTTTTGTATGCCTAACAGTATGCATGTGAATGACTGTGTGCGTGTGATAGAATCAGAATCTTTATTTATCCTGGAGAAATCCGATGAGTAGTGCAGCTCTTTTTCACAGATATCAAGTCGGTGCTGCCCGGAACGTTTCAACGACAAACGATACAAAAACATTCTAGGTGCTTCGATTAAGTCTTTTTTCTTCTTCTTCTTTCCTACGGATAACAGCAAATTATAACATGTGATTTTAAATGTTATCCCATACCCGTCAACCTGTATAGGTTTACCCGTATTCTTGTACGGGGAAATTTGAGTTTCAGGTCCATACGGCGTACAGCCGTTTCAATACCGGCAAAAATAAATAAAACTGTTTTTGTCTATTTGTGTTTCTCGCTTGTGATGGGATTTTGTAAGATGAACGTTGAGATTTATAAGGACACGGGGGTGACCAATAAGGTCTAAATTAGTCTGTAATAAGGTATGCACCTGTAATGAGAGAGCGCCATCTATTGGGCATCAGGGGGTAACTGTACGGGCACTATCGGGTAATTGGTATCCAATCCTAAGCAGGGATAACATCTGGGTCAAAGGTGACGGGCGGAGTCGGAGAAGATGTTCGGGAACCATCGGGAAGATTCCACGAGGGGGCGTGGCTAGAGGAATAAAAGCAGAGGCAGGGGAGGAGTCGTGGTCGGTGTGGGAAGCCTCGGTCCGGACTGCGTCGCTGCTCATCTGCTCCTCACCATCGACCACGTGGCGGATCCCCCAGCGGAGCTCGCCTCTTCTCCCCGGCACGTCGCCAGCCAGCGGCGGGATCGGAGAGAAAGTGGCGGACCTCGACGGTGGGACGGAGAGGACGCCTCGTCCACGGCATTTGACAAAAGGGAAATAACCCGGAGAGGGAAGGAGCGGAGCTGTGCAGTGGTTCAGTTAATAAAGAAGCACCATTCAAGAGTCGTCGTGGAAGTCCTTTAGAAAGGGTTGACAGGTATGTTATCCACTCAATTTTTGTTCATAAGCAGAATGGATATCGCCCCATTCCTCTTTTAAAGGAGTGAAGACAGGAGAAGGTGATTACAATGTGGTCGTTGGTTTTGAGATTCGTGGCTGCACTGGCAGGCCGCCGCAATCTTCGATGCACCATTTGTGCATCAGGTGGCCGCGTCGGCCATACCCGCTACCAATTCCGGTCGATGGTCGACCATTGACCACGTGGCAGGATGAAACTGGGCAGGTTCGACGGTAGGGGTCCTGTACGAGAGATCATTTTTGACTTTGATTAAGTGAGAACAAGTGAGAGACAGGTTGCACATTGGAGACCTGATGATGAAGGCAAGGCAGTGATGAGAAGGAAACTGGCACTGTGTGGACACCATTATGTAGGATGGACAACAACAGGAACATTAAAAATGTGGTGTTCGGAAAAAAAGGAAGGAACCAGAAAGAGAGGAAGACCTCGCAGAGAATGGCTTAACGATGACATACAGTGAGGGAAAAAAGTATTTGATCCCCTGCTGATTTTGTACGTTTGCCCACTGACAAAGAAATGATCAGTCTATAATTTTAATGGTAGGTTTATTTGAACAGTGAGAGACAGAATAATAACAACAATAAAAATCCAGAGAAACGCTTGTCAAAAATGTTATAAATTTATTTGCATTTTAATGAGGGAAATAAGTATTTGACCCCTCTGCAAAACATGACTTAGTACTTGGTGGCAAAACCCTTGTTGGCAATCACAGAGGTCAGACGTTTCTTGTTGTTGGCCACCAGGTTTGCACACATCTCAGGAGGGATGTTGTCCCACCCCTCTTTGCAGATCTTCTCCAAGTCATTAAGCTTTCGAGGCTGACGTTTGGCAACTCGAACCTTCAGCTCCCTCCACAGATTTTCTATGGGATTAAGGTCTGGAGACAAGCTAGGCCACTCCAGGTCCTGCATGTGCTTCTTCTTGAGCCACTCCTTTGTTGCCTTGGCCGTGTATTTTGGGTCATTGTCATGGTGGAATACCCATCCACGACCCATTTTCAATGCCCTGGCTGAGGGAAGGAGGTTCTCACCCAATATTTGACGGAATATGGTCCCGTCCATCGTCCTTTGATGCGGTGAAGTTGTCCTGTCCCCTTAGCAGAAAAACACCCCCAAAGCATAATGTTTCCACCTCCATGTTTGACGGTGGGGATGGTGTTCTTGGGGTCATAGGCAGCATTCCTCCAAACACGGCGAGTTGAGTTGATGCCAAAGAGCTCCATTTTGGTCTCATCTGACCACAACACTTTCACCCAGTTGTCCTCTGAATCATTCAGATGTTCATTGGCAAACTTCAGACGGGCATGTATATGTGTGTGTAGCCATTTCTGTGACCAGTCACAAGCTAATCACTCAGCCATTTCAATGCTAAATTATATGCTAATTCCTTTGTCAAGGCGCTTTGTTTCTTCTCACACAGCTTAAAGGTCGTGATCTGAGCATGGCTTTTTTCACTCCAGCGCTGTCCTCCAGTCTCGTCCCTTCACCTGATGAAGGCCGCTTGTGTTGTGGCCGAAACGTCGTGATTTTTGTTATTTTATTTTTTACCTACGTGACTTTACCCAATAGAACCAAAGAGTATGTGTTACCAATTGTTTTCTTGGTGACTATGGTCTCAGCTGCCTTGAGATCATTAACAAGATCCTCCCGTGTAGTTCTGGGCTGATTCCTCACCGTTCTCATGATCATTGCAACTCCACGAGGTGAGATCTTGCATGGAGCCCCAGGCCAAGGGAGATTGACAGTTCTTTTGGTTTCTTCCATTTGCGAATAATCACACCAACTGTTGTCACCTTCTCACCAAGCTGCTTGGCAATGGTCTTGTAGCCCATTTCAGCCTTGTGTAGGTCTACAATCTTGTCCCTGACATCCTTGGAGAGCTCTTTGGTCTTGGCCATGGTGGAGAGTTTGGAATCTGATTGATTGCTTCTGTGGACAGGTGTCTTTTATACAGGTAACAAGCTGAGATTAGGAGCACTCCCTTTAAGAGTGTGCTCCTAATCTCAGCGGGTAAAGTGAAATACAAATGTGTTGCAGGTCTAAGGCGTTCTTCGCGCAGCATTGGTTGATTATTTCAGTCGTTTACTGCCGTACGCACCCTGAAAGTTGCGTGGTGTGTCTGCAGCAAGCTCGTCTATGTGTACCTGTGGACACGCGCGCGCGTGGGGGGGGTAGTATAGTGGTTAGCGTGCTGTCTGTGTGTTTGTGTCTGTTTGGGGGGGGGGGGGGAGCGGTAGTGTTTCATTCCTGCTCACGGCCAACACCGGTGACGATTATTTGAATCGGTCCTGGGCCTACCCTAGGTCGACTCAGCCTCAAACAAGTAACTGGTGCGGTGTGTGAACATATCGCCACTGGGGAGGCAAAGGCGGCAGGGGGGGGGGGGGTGTGAATCCAAGTCCCGGGCGAAGCCGGGTAGTCAAGCTAGTCAATTATAATTAGTTTCAGAAATGTGCACGGCTTGAGCATGTTGGCACAAGACAGAGGAAAGTGGAAACGCATGACGAAACGTGCAGTGGACACCTGATCATGGATCGTGGTGGTGATGGTGATGCTCGAAGTTCAACGGCGTCCGGATCCCCAACGAAATTCGATGTCTGTGTGCGAGTCCACGTTGTGTCTGACTTTTTCGCCCGGGCATCGCCGGGTTACTTACCGCTAGTATGTTATAAAGAGTCGCGCTCATTGCACACAACGTTGTTCTTGCCACAAATGAACCGCGATACCTCGCCGATCTCGTCAAGGAGCGTAAACCATCACGTTTTATAGATACCAAGGCTCTACGACGCATTCGACCACTGCTGAGTCATGAACCTAGCCCAAACACGGTGGCTCGCTTGCAAACTTTAATCATCTGTCAGTCCAGGGGAAGAATGGAAACTGATGCCAGTCAAAGATCTGCCCTGGCGGTAATATGCTCACTATATAAACCAGCAGAACGCTTGGGTCGTTCGTGATAAGGGGGCGTTTGTCGACGGTTTCTGGCATAGATCATCACGGGCTGGGGACTTAGGTGCCCAAGGACCTGTTGCGCTGCAGGGATGCCACTCTCCTAGCTCGTGCATGGAGAGCCTGTCCAGAAGCGACCAATGTGCATGCATTACCGCTGCATGCGTGATCGCTGTAATATGCATGTCTTTGCTCTGTGTGTGTAGTGAGGGTGCATGGTACCTCCACGCACACGGACTATGCGTGCAGTGACTGCGTGTGCTTAACGTGCTCTTCTTGTACACGTTTTTTTTTTGTGCGGTGCGCGTCTGGAGGCCCCGGCCGACGCGAGGAGTCCGTGGTGGCCATCAGGAAGTCCATCGTGGCCGAGTACCCTGGCAGAGAACTGCAGCGCCGTGGCTACCTCCTGAAGCAGGTGCTGAGCCGCGAGCGCGGACGCATCCACCAGGTTGGATACGGCACGGGATGGTGAGAGGGTGGGGAGTACTAGTAGGTTTTTTTAATTTGATTTTATTTTTCCAGGTAAGGCCCACCGAGCTATATACTGTGGCTCTTTTTCAGAAGTGACCTGGCCACAAATGATAGCTCAACGAAGTGGCTCATTACGTGGAAATTTAAAGCAGCCAAATACTCTAAATGCACGTTGATTCTAAATGTGGAGAGAAACCGGAGGAGCTGGGGATAAACCCAAGTGACCACGGGAAGAACATGCAAACTCCAAATATACAGCAGCAGGCGTCAGGGTCTGGATCGAACCCACGGCCTCCTGTATACCAGGCGAGGTAGTTTACTTCTCGCCACCGTGCAACCCCAGTAATGGAGTGAGTGGCAGCCAAAGAATGGAAGGCATCGAAGAGGACATCCACTGAGGAGATGGTGCAATACAATAAGTTCGAGTATAGGTTCTGGGGAAAGTGGTCTTTGTGAGCACCCACAAAGGCTGTCACGGCATAGGCCAGCAAATCATGCCCAGTCGCCTCTGTTACAGTGTTGCCACGGTCTACAGACACCACTTCCCAATGACGTTTCCCATAGCCAGGAATCAGACCCAGGTCGTCCCCTGATCATAGCAGTGTGCGAACCACTGCGCGAGTGGACACAAACACCAGCACACACATGCACACACATAAGCAAAAGATTCAAGTCACAAAAGGTTATTAAACTGGTTTTATTTCAACTATTCCAATTACAACTCTACCTGTATAGATACAATACTTTAAAGATTACGTCTTAACATGGTACGGTCATACGTTTCATACTGGCTACTAAGAACTTTAAATATAATTACAATGTACATTTCAGCATTTTTTTCCAGTAGGTGAATATGTGTTACACGATACCGCGAATGTAGTCTGGTCAAGTCTCAGTTTATACACGGACTAAAGCAGGAGAACCTTCGCAAAATGTGATGCAAATAAGTAGCTTTTACTAAAATCAATAATAAAAATACCCATTGTATCTGATCCCATGTTATTATACTCAGCAGCTACACTCTTGCTACAATTGATATTGAGTTACAGCTGCATTTGTTGAGGGCATGATGACGGAGTCCACATGGTTATCCTTGTTTACATGCAACCGGATTGCATACAACTAGGCCTTGGCTTAATGCTATTGGATTCCATACAGGCTCCCCTTGGTAACATGCCATCAGATTCCAAAGGGCTGGGATTCCCCAACATGCAACTTAATTTAATAAGTTTAATTGTTTTTTGTTACATAGGTTACAACACATGACCCTATGAACCAGTGTTAATGCGACATGGCATGGGCATTGCCAACGTCGTAATGTCAATGCATGTTTCTGGGCCGCGGTTATAACATAGATTTAAAAGGAGGTTGAAGATGGACATGGAGATGTCTGCTTGCTCGTGCATTTCGCCAGCACTGAATTCTTGCTTCGTGTGGGAGGAGAATGGAGTGCCCAAAGAAAATGTATGCACATACTGGGGTAACACTCCAATTGTCACGTACATGAGCCAGAAACCTACTTGCTTCATTGCCCCTGACAAGCACCTAATGTCCTGCAGGCAGGCACCAAGCACACATTATTGCTCCATCGCTGCACGATTCACCAACGCCTAAGCCACTGCATTACATGTATTTGCAAATGAATTCAGCCACATCGATCCACAGTACTTACAGGCCCCATTTGAAATGTTCCTGTGCAGAGGTAACCGTACATACTATCGTATGCACAATTCCCACCTAAATGTTGCTTTCACAATGACAATCCAGATGAATACATAATGCATATGGTACCAAGCAACACCTCTGTATAGCACAATAGCAACTATTGCCTACACTGGGCAATATCTTGTGATACAACCAATCCCCATGTATTGGAATACTGGAATCACCCGGCAATGTTAAACAACAGTATTGATAATGGTATGATAGCAAAAACAATTCCAGAATCGCAATGCTTGTCTATATTTGTGTGGTGGGTATTACATAGGCATGTAACAATTCACATCTCCACCCTGCGCCTGATTCAATTGTTACAAATTTAGGCGATTTCATTCAATAATTTATGTTTTGTATTGTTTTCATATTATTCGCATTGGTTTTTTTAAACGCTTTTTCTTTCTTGTTTGTATAGTTTTGTTCACTACACTGGCAGAAATGTAATATCATATTACTTTATAGTTAGAATATTGTCAGAACAAATTGTAAGTGTACAAATCGATATATAGATTGTGAGTGTAAGAATCGATTTTTATTCGAACCGAATCATTACATGCCAGCATTTGCATACGACACTTGCAGGTATCTCCCAGGAATATCCGTCCACTGGCAAGTTCATTTTAAATTCCATGCTACGTCTTTTATCGGAACAAGCCATGGGGGTGTCAGAGCCAAGACGCCCATGTGAATTTCCTTGACAAGGACTCAAAATTGTGGTGTACGAGAAACGAGTCGAGTGTGCTCGTAACAAGCACACTCGTAACGAGCACACGGCAGTGGTCAGTTTTAAAAAGTGTTTAAAAATAAATAACGTTGAGCATCGGGGTACACGTTTATATTTCAGTTAACATCCTTAACGGCCTGCGAGCGTCTCAGCACTGCGCACGCACGCTACACGCTATATACACAGTAGAAGTATACCTTCACTTCATAGTCACTAACGAGGGCTCCAACACCTCGGCTTCGAGGTGGACAAGGTCCAGAGGACCTCGTTGCTCACTTTCGACATTAAACCCAAACCGGATGTCTTAAGAGGGCAGTGGCGTTTACACGCTGAGGTGTACAAATTGAGACAATTTATTCAGCAACCTAACGAAACGAGCACGTTGAGACAGGACCAGAGCTAAGCCCCACGGCTTAACAGCTCATGTAGGGGCATTCAGCAGACTGCGGCAGGCAGTCACACGCACACGGTCATCGTTAAAAGTTTACATTAACAAGCTCGTCCGATACCTACCGACACACACACACACAAAACATTTACTAAACATTTATTTATACTAATGTTAAACCGGGATTTGGGCTTGTGACCGCACAATAATATTCGACAGGGGTCATAATATATTTCGATTTAAAGCTTTCGCGACTGCAAGGATTCATCTTCTTTGGTTCTTTCGGTAAAGTCACCACGTAGAATGAGAATAAAATAATAAATTGATAAAATAAAATAACGCAATAAAATTCTCACGACGTTTCGGCCACAGCACAAGCGGCCTTCATCAGGTGAAGGGACTAGACTGTCTGGCGGACAGCGCTGTTCTCATTCTACGTGACTTTACCGAAAGAACCAAAGAAGGTTATAATATAGTTTTGAAAATGGATATCGGTTTCCCACCATGGTGTTACTTGCATCACTGTTATTTCTTTTTACACCTTCCAGTTGGCTCCATAAGCATGGGAGATTGGGTTGCAAAACTCACCTGGGCATGACCTTGGAAAGCAAACGGGAGGTAATTTCAGTGGTGTCGTTTAACTTTCTGCCTGCGTCTTGAAAGCGTTCTGGTTTGTGACCACAGCCAGGTAGTTCCACCTGTCCCTACTGGGACTATCAAAGTGGTTCCCGGACCCCAGCACTGTCTCGATATTTGCACGCACGCCGGATGATCCACGAAACAGTGTCAGCAAATCAAGGAATTAAAGCAAGACTATAAAACGGTGAAACGTGGACGACAACACCGCTTTACAGTTCGAAGTTTACGAGTTCAAATCTCAGTCTGGGGTTAACTCGGTTTCATTCTTACCGCCTCACTGGGATTGCTAAAATGTGTACCACTTTGGGCGAAGTCAAGTCGTATCGACTTTATCCCTGCCATAGGAATTTGCACTACAGTATACACCACTGACTCGGTGCCATAAACGGAGATTAGCGGGTGCCAATTAAGGACACCTTGACACTTTTCATCGCTTTTACAAACAATACATTGATTTTCTAAATTAATAGAATTTAAAACTTAAATAAAGAACAGCACTGTGCACATTTGGCATAAGCTGCTAATCTTTTCCAAGTTTTCATTATTGCCGATTTTCAAGATTGTCTCGTGAATTCTGAGGGAAAGCGTCACTGAACAGCGCTAAGTTTGGTTGCTCTTGAGCCAGGTTTGCACCAATCAGAGTATTTTTTTCCAGCCTAGTAAATATCCTTGTGGAATATCCCTTTTTCAAAAATTAAAATATCCTGTGTTACCTATTTGAATAAATGAACGAAAACGAGCATCTGAAAGCAAGACCTCTGATGTGGTAACACTGTTCGGCGTTGCAATGTATATACGTAAACATTACCTGATAACATCTAAAATTAGGTCAGGTTGCTCTTATGGAATAGCTGACATTAAACATTTTGGCCAAATAACTTCAATGCGCTGCATTTTTCAATAGCGGCATTTTCGAAATCAAAATGTGATTAAGACATCCAATTCAAAAACACTTAGCTGGTCTCCCTACCATAGACTAAGAACGCAGAGCGGAGGTACGCAAGACTCGGCATGGGTTTTCCTTTATCCTTTATAAAGAGTGGTTCACCACATGCCGAATGCCTGCTATTTTTTTCAGTATAGGTAGTCACAACATAAAATAATAATGTCCAAGTTTGCACAACAGAAGCCCACAGATGCGACTTGGCAAGTAGTTTTGTTATCGTCTGGGGTACTTTCCTGGAACACAATAAGAATCTTCACTAACAAGTGTAGCTTAGGAAAGATGTTAATGTGTCTCATGGCCCTGACACACAAGTGGGGGGATGGGGATCAGTGGTGTGACATGGAGTGTCCGACGATGCATCGCCAGTAATTTATTGACATGACTCCCTTTGATTGAACAAAAACACTCGCAAATGGTAAGGCGCCAACTGGAGTCCAATCGAAATTTGTAATCAAAATGTTCTGACATGGATAGACTCTACAATCTGATATTTGTATTCTCCGTTTATAAATGAATCCATCATGGCAAAGTTAAATGATGCAACAACTTCTGGAATAATATAACTTTCAAAAGCAATTATATTCATGTTGCTCCATTTCACACAGGACTGGAGCACCGTGAAAATAATGTTGATTTGGATGAGAAGTGTGTCAAGATTAAAATAAGTTCTAAATATATCTACATGGCATATGACACAATGCTGACACCGATTTTGGGATCAAACATATTTGAAATTTCTGTCAAGGGCCAATGCCAGTCCAACAAAAAGAATCGGGCTGCAAATTAAGTGGAAAGGCTCTGCTAATACTTCATAATGAAAGTCAAAATGAAAGCTACCTTCATCGATCTTTAGCAAGTCAACCGATACACGCAACGATGCAAATAATACATGGTAAGTTAAATTTAATGTTTTTTGTTCCACAACTGCTAACAATTTTCAGTTTTCATAACGCATGTCGGATGCAATTTCTCATCCTGTTCCCCTGCCTAGACTGAGTGGGTTGTTTAGGTTGGGGTTATCGAGATGAGAGAGGTGGGGTCCAGGCCTAACATAGCGTTGGTAATTGGTTACAGAAGTGCACTCATTGGCTAATATAGTTTTAATAGTGTGCACAGGTTTGTTGCAAAACATAAGCAACAAAGTTTAACAAAAAAAAGTTGCGTAACATCTCGAGCCCAAAACAAAACTGTATGTGCTAAAGTCGCTCAGTTCAACTTCAAGATGCACACACGACATGCACGGGTGGTGTAAACATTCGTGTGCAAGCATCACTAACTGTGGTACTATTCGGGCATTGAAATGTGTCACCGACAGGTTCGCAATGTTGTCGTTTGAATCAACCCCTACGTTCCAAATCTAAATTTGTCCCCATTCCTTCTATAAAGTTGTCACTGCGGGACTGAAATTGCGGGCAGAAACTCTTTGCGACCAATTCGAAAGATAAAATCCGCCACGAACAGCCTTGGCTTTCACATAGAGTAATTATTTGTAACACCACGTCATTAAAGGTATTGCTCAAATAAGTTAAACCAAAACAAGGGAGTGGGGCAAGTATCACCGCCAGTCGTTCTCCAATCACTTCTAAGTTAAGTGTCTTCCATGAGTGCAGCCCTGAATACAGCAACACTTTACTACAACACTGAACAACAGCAGCATCAGCAGCCAGGTGGAACGAGCACCAAATCTCCAGTGCATATTTCCATACCTGTGACTATATTGGCAGACAACGAAGTCTGCAGCGACCCTCGTACAGAAACAAGCCAATTCTCATAGCTGACGTGGAAAACTACAGCACCTCTCTATATGTATACCTGCAATGTCTTTAAACTCCTCTGCAGAACAGCAATTGTTGTTTAAATTAGGTGTTGTTTTCCAACATGGGAAAACAGGGCTTTTTATACTCGGAAATTTTATCCAGTGAAGGTACACTGCGTCACATGATTCATTGGGAGGGTCCTGCGGTGGAATGTTAGTCCAATTTCCTCAATGAGTACATAAAATTGCATGCTAGAGAAAACCACGGTCCTTGGAGAGGGCTATTATTGACGTCTGGTTGGCCAGGGTTAGGGGCAGTGAGTGGGATAGTACTCATGGCTGGTTGGCTCAGAGTCAGGAATAGCGTTTGGATGTTTAGTGTGTTATGCCACGCAACTGTCTCGCTCCTCCCCATTGCAAGTCTTATCAGTGTTTTACCAATGTTTATAGCGTCACCACGCTTGACCACGCTCATTCCAGAGAAGGGGCATCATTGGTGACATCGATGTGTGATACAAACACACAGGTTCGTACGTTCACATTTTTGTGGACAAGGAGGAAGTTATCTTTCGTCCCAAAGCAAAAGCATAGTTGAGGAATTTGCTGTTCCTGATAAGGATCGAAGCAATATTTTCCGAATACGATGTTACAATAGGGGTTAAATTCAGTGTTTAGGAAAAATTAAAGTGGAGACAGAATCTGAATTAAAGACAGAGTAAAGTTAGGTTTAGGATTAAATTGCAACGGGATAAGGTGAGGGTAATATTTGGCTAGAGTTAGTGTTAGGCTGGGTTTAGAGCTAAAGTTATGAATAGGGTTAGTGTTAAGTTCCCCATTAGTGTTAAGGTACAGTACATGGAACTGGAGGAGGTGGTATTAGTAGTGATGGTGGCGGTGCTGTTGGGGTTGTAGTGACAATACCATCCTGACCTCCTTTTAGCCAAAACATGACTAACTTCACATGCAAAGTGTGTATGAGTTTGCGCTACACTCCACCATGTGGGGAAGGTTACTTTAGACACAATCTATTGACTTATTTACAAAGCACGAGGCTCTCGCTAGCGCCTTGCTCATTCTTGACTGTCAATGCACGCACTCGTACACACAAAATAAATAAATAAAAACCTTACAGATGAACAAATGGACCTTTGCTTGATCAGATAGAAATTACCAAAAGTTGAAAGTATAAAAGTTAATAAAAATATCAAGTGAAAAAGACAATGTAACTTTTTTGTGCGTGCATGCCAAAGTGTGCATGCAGTGTATTGTGTTTCTCTCCCACAATGCATTGTGGCTTAACGGTTGTTTCATTGGAGCGTCATTATTATTATCCACGAAATGCACTCAAACGCATCACAAAGCGCAGGGAGGTCTGGTTCGGCTCAGGACTCGCTGCCCACACTGCCACCCAAACCATTTTCAAGTTACAACGTCCTCCGACCTGCGAGCGTAACGCAGTTTACACGTAAACGTCACCGAATAATCCGCCGCAATTAACTCACAAAAAATACTGCAATCTTAAACATCAGAAATGAGGCCAGATAGAGAAAAAAAAGTACACTTTTTTTTTTACATTTGACAAACATGATCAGCCAAAATTCGGATTAATTATTTTTCATTTCATCCATGATTTGTTGAATCCGCCTCTGCGGATCACCAGCTAAGTGAATGGCCGGACCAGCCTGGGAAATACCACTCCATCCCCACGTTTAGTGATGGAAATCCTCAGCCTCAGTGGGCAGCTGCTTCATGCCCATCCCGTGGGGAAACTACTTCCAAGGGCACCAGTATGAGGTCACCCACTCTACCTCTAAACTGCTCATGTTTGAGCAGAAACAATGGTAACAAACATGTGATCCCATTGTGCTACCGAAAGAGCTTTCACGCATTTCTGAAAGGGGATGAAAATGTGGGCATATGTACCCATGCGTGAAGCAAATACTGTACATCAACTATATATGCACACACACATATATTGTAAATATATATGTATAATGTACATATATACACATTTCTACACATGTACAATGTGTATATACAGTATAAATAATGCATATACAGCACAAACATGCATACATATACAGTAAATACACATACATACATAAAAACACACAAACTATACGCTGTAAGTATGCATACACTATCACATCTCTTTGCCCGAGCCAGCTATTCATTTGGCAATAGCGAGCCACACGCAAGCGACAGATTTTCCGTCACGAGATGGTGCCAGTCAACAAAGGGACATTCCCCTCAGTTAAGACGTTATGAGGATCAAGCACACCACACTGGACTCCGCAACAAATAGAAACCACTTATAACACATTTATAATCCATAGCAATGGTCGGCATGGCACTTACGTCGTCTTTTCACTTCCACGCCGAATTTCATGGCTGATGTATGTCGTCCCAGGCGCTAACGTTACTAGGTGTGAAAACGACACGTGCAATCTTGATAATTGCATCAGATGCCGAATAGAATGACGTGTTTTCGCCAGTGTTACAGATGCCTGCCGAGTTTGACAGGTGTTTAGGTTGCAGGGTATCCTGGGAAATACCCGCAATACTTTGCAAGCTGCATGAAAGAGCAGCCAGATGTAATCACGGTTAGTAAGAGGGAGCGCATCCACGAGTGCCCCTGGCAAATTTAATTTCAGTTTTCCCATGGCCCACAGAATTGACAAGTAAAATGGATGCCTAACCTTGACATTTACAATGAGACCACACTCAAGTGAATCATTCTTGGGTAAATCACACATGCACCTGCTAATCAGCATCAAAACACCCACGCATGCACTAATAATACAATTAACAGCATAACATCCTCATACTTTCCAGTGGGTAAATTATCAATCGCACTCATCCCACACACACCACCCCCCCTCCTTCTGGCCTACATAGTCTGTCGGGGCAAATAATGTTCGCAAGCACCTCTCAAGGCTGGCACAGCACACGGATGAGCAGTATGACCTGCATCACGTATGCCCAGCCACTATTGTCTCCCCAGTGCTGACGATGAATAGCACAAAAGGTGGTACCTCAATAGAAGAGAGGCTAGTGCCAGGATAAGAAAATTTGCCCACTCTTTCAATTGTCACACCTGGAGACTGAACCGACAGCATCTGGATTGCAAGTCTTGTGTATGAACCATCACGCCATGGCAGCATCCCAGGCAATCAATAATCCAGTAATTGATGTGTCTCATGTCATGATAGTTAATCCAGGTGGATGGGAATGTGACACATGTGGTGCTCGGTTTAACTATGATCCCCTAATTATGCAGTCACGTACTTCCACAAACATGCACCCATGCACGCGCGCACACACAGACATACAGACACGTGCACACACAACAAAACATCACGACTGGTGTGCAATTCACGTGAGGGTAAACAATTGGCAGGTCAGTGTTAATCATCGAAACAATGAAATTAACATCCGGCTACCTGCAAAATGTGTGACATGGCAATTCATTACAACTTATGAAGGTGAAGTGTTTAAAAAATAATAAAATCCACTCTCTGTAATCCAATGTCAACCAATATTAGATGCCTGCATTACAATTCATAGTAAAACCTAGCTAAGTGAAATGATAACAGGAACATAAAATGTGTTTGCCATTCCTTTCAAAATGATCATCTTTGAGTTATCAAGATTGCATGCTGCGTTTCACCAATTTCCTCGATTTACTTTTGTGGAAATCATAAACGTAGCAATGCAGTCCCCTCCCTGTTGGGTGCCAGTGTTTCTCTACAGGTGTATGTGTACGTACATACGTGTGTTTGTGTACAAATTCGAACACAAACGCAAAGTGTGTACACAAACACACAACAGTGCACCGTTTGTATATTTTGTAATGAAAGATGATGGGGTGGGTTTTTGAGCAACGTAATAATACAGAATTAGAAATTCATTACTCAAAAAGGCTAAGTTTGAAAGTACTATTTTATAGGATGCTTGGAATTGGATAATTCCTGCTCAAAAGTACTTTGTTATTTAGTGTGTGGGAGGAAACCGCAGTGCTTGGGGGAAAAAAAAAATAAAGCATTCATGAGAACAAACTCCACCGCACACATTATGCCTGTCATTGAAAACGTCCACCACAATGGGTCATAAACTTGCTGGCTATATACCACCTAACCGAACCACCAGAAATCTATGCAGCCGAATGTCTTAAACACATTATCATGATCATCATAAAATGATAACAGATCTGGCTTAAACCACCGATTCACAATTTTCATCCTTTCACATCCACCACCGCCGCCAATTCCTCTCACAGCAGCCAAACTGTGTCACACTCTAAAAAGCTTCCACTCCCGAGCCTCACCGGAGATTTTCCCCAATGAATTCCGTGTCACCTTGGGAGAGACATCAAGCGCGCAGGCACACATCACAGCGCCGCCATGTGTAGCTTCTGGTGACTGCGCAGCCGGGACTTGCGGCGAAACGAGCGGCCGCAAACCTCGCACTCGAATTCTGGCGGCGGCGGCGGCGGCGGCGGGGGCGGCGGGGGCGGCGGCAGCAGCGAAAGCGGCGACGAGGGCGGCTGCGGCGAAGACGGGCTGCTGGGCGCGTCGGCGTTGCTCAAGCACAGCTTGTCGAGGAAACCTGCGCCGCGGCCGCCCTTCCGCGGCGAGCCGTGCAGCGCCGCGTGCATCCGCTGGTGCTTCCGCAGGTTGTCGCGCCGCGAGTACGACTTGTCGCACACCTCGCATGGGTAGCGGGCCTCCTCCGCCGCAGCCTCGTGCTCCAGGCTGTGGCTCGCCAGGTACGCGGCGCGCGTGAAGCTCTTTCCGCAGTCTTCGCAGCGGAAGCCTGGGGCCTCGGCTCCCGAGTCGCCAGCGGGCGTCTCCTCTTCCTCCGTCGCAGCTGCCGCAGCCGCCGCTGCCGCGGCCTCGGCCGCGCGCTCGTGCTTTTTCTTGTGCGATAGAAGCGAGGAGAGATGCACGTAAGCACGGTCGCATTCTGTGCACTTGTGCGCCTTCTCAGCCTTGGGAGGCTTCTCAGGAGAAAGGTTGGGCCCGTCGTCCATGACCATCGAGCCGCGCCTCACAGGGGTCATCGCACGCCTGTCTGTCGGCACAAAGGATCCCGAGTACTTGCGGTAGCGCCGATCGGCCATGTCTGCAAGGGAGACATTAACAGGATTTAGTGGGATCAGTGAATTGTGGAAATCCGACTCTTCCTACCTCAAGGTAGGTGAAAAATAACCTTTGTTCGACCAGTTACGTGCTAATCAAGAGGGCTTGACAAAGTGTGGGAGTTAGTGGTTGGTGGTTTCACTATAAATGTTGCTATATGGAAATGCAGACGATACCAGACGCAGTCGCTTATAGTTCGACTCGTACAATGAAAAGGACGAAGAAAAAAAGTTCTACCTGTATGGGCAAACTATTTATTTTTGGGCCAGCGATACAGTAAAACCCCAGATAGCCAACTGAAAAGTCCGGCTTGCTGCGATTGTAATCAAAATACAGTGGAAATCTCTAAATTCATTCATTTTTTCTCTCTCACGAAATTCGATTATAAACATTGCATCATGGGGGGGGGGTACTGTGCTCGCAAAATACAGCAGCGGATTGTGGCCAATGCTGAAGCTTTTTACTCTTTAAGTGCCGCTGCCTTTTGCACTCCGTTTGCCTTCGTTGTGGTGGGTCCTTTTTATTTCGATCATGGGATCTAAGCGTCAAATGAGTGGAGGAGGTGAGAGCAAGAGTAAAAGGCAGAAACAAATGAACGAGTTTAGCTATAAAAGTGGAATCGTTGGAAAGACTTACTCGTGCGTCTGGTGGAGACGGAGTCTTCTTAGGAGGCAACACGCATTTATTTAACAGTAACACAGAAGGTCCCTAACACGAAGGGGTAATGGCCCCTTCTAACGAACAACCTAAGGAGGCACAGCCTCCGGGCAAATGTGCCCTAGCCACTGGGACCAACCACTCTTAGCCCTTCGGCTAACGGGACCTAGGGGAGGCTTACCCGACCCAGCCATGGTCCTCGGGTCCCGACCACTGGCCCACTCAGACCCGGCCCTGAGAAGGACGTCAGGTCCGGGGATCCTCAGGGTCCTAGCCTTCTGACCACTGGCCTCACTGAGCTCCGGCCCTTAGAAGGACGGCGGAGCTTGGGGTCCAGGGTCCTAGTCTTCAGGCGAGCTCTTGGGTCTTCGGCTTGACGCTGACTGACTCGAGCCGCTCTGGGGTCCGGCTTTTATGGGGCTCCCAGGGTCACTCCGCCCCTGGCCACGCCCACTCTCTGGAACCTTCTAGAGGGACCTGGATTGTTGCGCAATCCCCCAGCCCCCACTGGGGGCCTGGGGTGTCCCCCTCTGGTTCCGAACCGCCCCCCAGGTTGCCTGACACACGAGTCCTGCTTAGTACAGACCGGACCCGTTATTGCCCCCTGTTGGGCCCTGACTGGAGGTACATGTTTAATTGTAGTGGTGGCGGCGTATTACGCCCGACAATTACCCACCACAAGATGAAGCCTTTTAATTTTCTCCCGTGAGTTCAGACGGACATGGGAACCTAACCACCTTTTCCCGTATAAACATAGCGTCTACATTCGCAAATTCTACCTTTGTGCATACGTGTAAATTTTGATTCGTATGTTGTTTTTTCTGACTTTATGTGAACGAAAAGACACAAATTCGCCCATTTTCTCATTGAAAAGAGGTAAATTTCAAAATATCACTGTACTGGTCACAAAAGCAAAGTTTGTGGGGAATAATAGCCATTTTCTATACTTTTTAGGCATAAGCAATTACGAAATAACACTACCCAGGAACAAAAATTGTGTTACGTAGTGTATTAATGCTGCTCACAACCAATAACAGTCACCACTGGTGGAGAAAGTGGGGGGGGGGCACGTGCCCCCCCCAATGATCAGATCTAAATCCCTAATTTCGATCGGATCATTGGGGTTTATTAGTAATACATCAGTATTTTGCGACCCCCACTGCCACTTTGTAGCATATTATTGTGTCAGGGACTCTATGAGATGATAGGACAATAGTCCGAGTCCATAATTGGCAATCAGTAACGGCAAAGCAGTTATAAGTGACTCACAGAATTGTGCGCAGTTGCGTATACAGGACACGACTTCCCTGAAGGCATCAACACCTTCAGCGAGAGCGATGCCGATCACACAACGCGGTTCGAATTCGACCCCCGATCGATGTCTGCGCCATCGCCGCACACGCGTCTAATAAGAAGCAAGGGACAAGTCCTTACTTACTAACAACTCCTATTATTTTTCATTGCTGGAGGGGTTGCCCCCACTACCTGAAAATCCTGGCTCCGCCATTGCTGCCCATTCCATTATCGTACATAAATAATAACAAGAAACTGCGCTTGTAAGAAACACAGGGTAGGGCTGTGGACGAGTGTGCTATGATTAATAAAAGCTAGCCCCTGACCCACAAATGGCTGAACAAATGAATAAGAATCCCAGCTCATAAGAGCTCTCAAAATTGATGTCCCATTGTGAGGAAAAAAATAATCGGTGCATTCTGAGCAGGTAGTCACGTGGGTTGTGTGCCGTTTATATTTAACTTAGTTAATGTAGAGCAAATATGTGCAGTGATTAGTATCTCCAGTGGCCTGTCCTCGCCTTGTCTGTCAATGGACATTTTAAAGCGTGTAAATGTTTACTGCTCGTTATATATTTCCTCCCTTCTGTTCTTTCTTTCGCCACAAGGTGGCGTGTATGGTATCATGTATGGTGACATCTGGTCACGGTGTTGTATACGTGCTGAAAATGTCCATCTCATTTACCGATGTTCACGCCTCGACAGCAGGAACCATTGTATGAATTATCCATTAGGCGGTTACATTTTTAAAAGGTCAGGGAGCTTAATACACGAGGTAACTGTTATTACATGTGGAAGTGTGTAATGTAATACTATGACTTGAACCTTTTGGATTCCCAATCGCTGGCAGATTCTAGTAAAATGGACAAGATGTTGAGTGGATATGAGAGCACCACACACAAGGCTTGTATACAAGAGTGAACATTTATGCCCTGAAACAAGTGGCTTTTATAAAGGCGAATGAAAAGGTATTGGACGCACCCATATCAGGTATCCCATCCCCGTCTGCGTGATCCAAGCCAAAGTCTTCATCGTCTGAAAAATGGCACGCACGCACACACATAGACAATCAATATGTATTAGGACACATTCAAATTTAAACCCAGCTATCCACACATAACTGTAGACACAAAGATTACCCCTATTTTTTATCGTTATATATAGGGAGTGCCATTAGTGAACAATAGGGTGGTGTGGGCCAGCACTGGATCCATGCCTGTCTTCCTATTGCTAATAATGACAAAAGACACCACTTACTCATTGGAGACCAAGTTAACCTAGGGGAGAGGCCCATGATAGGTTCAGATAACACGTCACTAGTCACTGATGTTATCCGAGACCAGAAATCAAACTCTGGTTGCCCAGTTCATTAAATTCTGTGCACAAATTACTAGACTACAGCAACCGACGAACAAACACACACGCGCACAAATGCGTGTACAAACAACTTACAAGTACACACACCTATCTACGCACTGGCACATGAATGCAGATATGCAAATAAAGCTGTGCCTACAATCACGTTTTAATTTGCCGAATCGAAGGAAGAACAAATGAAAATCAAAGCATCAGTGCTGACAACTGCGGGCTGCTGGAGATCATGTGACCACCACGCCAGAGGTGGGAGCGGGCAGGAAGGAAGGAGAGGAGCCACCGGGGACAATGGCTGTGACAGCAACAATTATAGCCCCGGCCACACGCACATGGTGAGGGAGAGACAGACACACACACATGGGATGGGGGCACAGTGAGAACCAAAGATATAGAGACATGCGAGAGAGGGAAACAGAAAGTAATATGGAGGGATCAAGAGAGGCAGATAAAAAAATACACAGGGAGACCGAGGGAAAGAGGGAATGACAGATCAACAGAGAGACAGATACAGCGATAGAGCAAGACAGGACGAGAGGAAGAAACAGAGAGACAGGAAGACAGAGGGAAACCGAGAGACCCATGACAAAATACACTTGGAGACAGAAGTACTGTAGACAGAGGGGAAGACCGAGATAAAGAGGGAGGGACAGATGTGATTAAATACAAAAAATAAAACAAAAAAATACTTTTTGGTTTTGAGTTCCGAATACCTAGATAAGGTATTTGTTATTCGGCAGAATAAAAAGCACAAATTAGTACACCCTTACTAAAAACGCAAATCGCTCTCCATACCTACACACACTCAATAACACAGATACCACACACTCACTAACCTTCCATTGGAGCCTGATCCAGGCCAAATCCTTCTTCCTCGGATTTCATTTGGAATAAATCTGTTAACTCGGGGTCTGACATGACTGACACTGCAAACATGACCACACAAAAACACACGTGTAATTAGGTCGTGTTTGTGGACAAATGCAGATCAGACTGGCATAGCATGGCTCCCAATCATAAGGCTGCAAATGTTAAAAAACTTCCATCCAGGTTCAACCCAACTCAGTTTCACCTTTGCAAACACCATCCCTTTGGAGTAAGGATGTAACATTTGGTGAAGCAAATACAACAGCAGAGACTGATCCCATAGGACAAATGACATACACTCGTACATATCTACACACACACAAGACAAAGATTCCATGTATAGCCTTAACAGACTGGAAGGGCAAGTGATGTTAGCAAGCATCCATGAAGGCCAGCACAGGACACGAGGGGGTGGGTGGCCAGCACCATGCTCAACAACCTTTATTTCCCCATAGGGGATGTTTACACAGCGCACTAGGTACTAATTTGAGACTGAGTCGACCTAGGGGAGTCCCAGAACCGGTTCAGATAATTATCACTGGTGGTGGCCGTGAGCGGATATCAAATCGGGTTGCCAGGTTCGTAGTGCAGCGCGCTAACCGCTACACCACCGCTCTCCACAACCGCTACACACATTCAGACATATGCACACACATGCATACACACACCTCACCGACACGCTCAGGGTGCACAGATATTTGGATGGAATTTGGATGCGGCCAGTATCCATCTGGCTTATTTTTCAATATTTGTTTCTTAATGAACAGTAAAAGGAGCAAAACAAATAATTTAAATTAATGTTTAACTCATATTAAGTCTAATAATTCAATCATCCGACACAACCGTGTGAAATCATTAAGATATTCAGCTCAACATGCCTTAGTCATGTGATATGGGGTTTGGGTGAAGACACTACTCAATACAATGTGACATCTATATTCTTGGTTCTTTCGTGACTTTACCGAAAGAACCAAGAACATGAATCCCTGCAGTCACGAAAGCTTTAAATCAAAATGTGACATCTGTTCAGTGGCGTTCATGTGTTTTTATCTCTCTACATCTCTCTACCTTGTATTGCCTCTGAATACATCTCCATCATACATCTTCAATCCCTTCTGAATACACCTCCATTCAATCTCTTCATTCTCTTATGAATCTACCCATGGTTTTCCAATCTGCATTTGACCTTCATAGAAGTATTTTTATGAATAGAAAAGACAAGACTTGACGTTTGGCAAGAATTACAAGAATGCTGCCACGCGTTTACCACGTGGCTGAAGCAAAAAAATACAATAATTATTGTATCGGTGACGAAAACCCAGGTTTTAAGTTTATACATAACACATCTCTTGTTTCTGTTTGTATATCTCTTATGAATACATCTCTGTCTCTTGTTTATTCCTTCAACATACATCTCACCAACCACCCCATTACCCATAGAGAGTTGAGGGGGTGGAGGGTTTGACAACAAAGTGGCAAGCTTCAACTCTTTGTTCCAAGCTTCAGGTTCAGCAGCAGTCTTCAACTCCTTCTCAGTGAGCAGCTGTTACCAGGCCCTCAGCATACAAAACATGGTTGAACAACAGGGAGATCTTTTTTAACTGTACCTAGCCATTGATCAGCCTCCCAATGTATCTGTACCATATGGATATTCTATTAGTACAGCCATGGAAGGCTTCTTGAAATAGTAAAAACATTTTTTTAAATAGTATAGGAGTCATATTTCAGTCACACCCAAATGTGAATACAAAATGTATAAGACTCCTGGCCATGCAGCTTCACCCAGGCCTATTCACTAACATCAAGGTCTTTAACGACTGTGAGCATGTCAGTAACCCAGAACGCACAAATCTCAAATTAAAGCCCTGGCTTCTTCATGGGGGGTGGGTGGCCAGTACCACGCCCGGCCGCCTTTGTCGCTCAAATGTGGATGTTTACACACCACACCAGGTACTCATTTGAGGCTGAGTCGGCCTAAGGGAGGCCGAGTATCAGTTCAGATATTGAACACCGACGTTGGCGGTGAGCAGGAATCGAACTTGGGTCGCCAGGTATGTAGCGCAGTGCGCTCACCACTACACTATCGCTCCAAACAAACACACACAAATGCTCATCCACACCAACACAAAGATCCCCTGTATAGCCCTAACATACTGTTGGGGAAAGTGCTGTTGACAATCACCTGAAGTTCGACACGGCGCATGAGGGGGTGGGTGGGCAGCACCACGCCCGGCCGCCTTAGTCTCCCTAGTGGTGATGTTTACACTACTCATTTTATGATAAATCGACCTAGGGGAGGCCCAGGACCGGTTCAGATAATCGTCACTGGTGTTGGCCGTGAGAGGGAACCGAACTTGGGTCGCCGGGTTCACAGCGTGGCGGTGCTAACCGCTACACTACCGCAAAACACACACACACAAACACATTCACCCACACAAACCAACACAGAGACTCCGACACACACAGAGTGCTCTCTACCGAAGGGGTGATGGGCGCTGTGCGTGTCTCTGTGCTCAAAACACACACACACACAAACACATTCACCCACACAAACCAACACAGAGACTCCGACACACACAGAGTGCTCTCTACCGAAGGGGTGATGGGCGCTGTGCGTGTCTCTGTGCTCAAAACACACACACACAAACACATTCACCCACACAAACCAACACAGCGACTCCGACACACACAGAGTGCTCTCTACCGAAGGGGTGATGGGCGCTGTGCGTGTCTCTGTGCGCGGCGAGCGCTGCCGCCGCCAGGCACATGAGGCCGCACTCGCCACAGCGGTACTCGCGCTCACGCTCGTGGATCTCCTCGTGCTTCTTGAGGAAGGCGCGGTGCAGGAAGGACTTGCCGCACACCTCGCACGAGTGCGGCATGCTGCCCGAGTGCACCGTCTCGTGCAGCCGCAGGTTCGACAGGCGCCGGAAAGTCTTGCCGCACACGGGGCACTCCAGCGTCGCCTCGGGCATGGGCATGGCGGGCCGCTTGCGCGAGTGTCGCCGCTGGTGCTTCTGCAGGCACTGCTGCACACGGAACGCCTTGCCGCACGTCTCGCACACGTACGGCTTCTGGCCCGTGTGGATACGCCGGTGCTCATTGAGCGTGTACGCGTCGAGGAACGCCATGCCGCAGTCCGTGCACACGAAGTTGCGCTCGCCCGAGTGGCGCTTGAGGTGCATGGTGAGCGAGCAGCGGTGGATGAACGCCTTGCCGCAGAGCTCGCACTGGAAGGGCCGCTCGCCCGTGTGCGAGCGCAGGTGTGCCACGAGCTGAGCGTTGCGCGCGTAGATGTTTCCGCACTCCTTGCAGATGTATGGGTTGTTGTCGGAGTGCAGGCGCTTGTGCGCGCGCAGCGCAGGCTTGTGCTTATACGACTTGCCGCAAACCTCGCAGACGTAGCGCTTCACGTCCGAGTGGCACGCCTTGTGCTCCATCAGGTAGTTGGACGACACGAAGCCCTTCTTGCACACCTCGCACACGTACGGCCGCTCGCCCGTGTGCTGCCGCTTGTGCTGCACGAGCTTTTGCTTCTTGGCAAACGTCTTGTCGCACACGTCGCACACGAAGGGTTTGGGCGGCGGCCCACTGTGCGTCGCCTTGTGCACCGTCAGATAGTAGCCCTGCGTGAAGCCCTTGCTGCAAATGTCGCACACGTAGGGCTTCTCACCCGTGTGGATGCGCGCATGCAGCCGCAACTTGTACTTGCTGGCGAAGGTCTTCCCGCAGTGCGACTCCTTGCACTTGAAGGGGCGCTCGTTGGTGGAGCGCGATACCGTCTTGTAGGGGAGCATCTTAGGGCGTGAGCGGAACATGTGCACCGCCTTCTGCTGCTGCTGCTGCTGCTGCTCATCGTCCTCTTCATCCTCCTCTTCCTCCTCCTCCACCTCCAGCTCCTCCCCGTTGTCATTCTCCATGTCGTCGTCCTCTGGTTTTTGCTCGTATTTTGGCGACAGTGATGGCGAGGAGGAGTTGTCCATCTCATTGTTGACTGTGGGAACATGAATACACCGTCGTCATTACCATGGTCATCGTCATTCATTGGCTCGTGTTGGCAAGGGCAGCTCTTCACACAGGCAACACTGTGGTCGCTCAGTTTTACTTTGTGTTTCTTATAATTGGCAGAAATTACCTCGATTATGCTCAGCATCCACACGCTGAGAAAAGCATTTTCATTTGCAAATGTTCGTAGAAACTGCAGCACCGTACACCATATTGGCGCACGGCACTGTTAGTCACATCAGTGGCCTTACTTGACTTTTGTCATTCAAGGGTTCTATCTTACGACAAAGCTAAGACTTTGAAATTTAGCTGTGTACTGAGTAAGCGCTTATCTCTGAGCATATCTGCAAAGCCTGTGCAGGCCACATTTAGAGCAAATCCAAAATGAAAGAATATTTTTTAGAGTGCAGTCTCTGGTGACCAGGTTAATATTATTATCCAACTCATTAATATTTGACAATCAGTTTTAATTAAGTTAAAAACTATGGGATTGCGTGGCAGTGGTGTATAAGTGCAAATAGATACTAAAAAAGCACCACTTTCGTCATAAAATTATGGGTTTTCTCACTTAAGGCAGCCCACACAAATGTCCACTTGCAGTAGTGCTTTCCAGCCAGTTTGTGAAGCTCCCAAATTTGCCTTTGAATATATTAAATGGTTGAGCGGAGTACTACAAATGTAAAGGATGGAGGAGAGCCAATTGCCGAGACAGACAATGGAGTCGTTTCGACGAGTCCAGTGGCCAAGGGAAAGACCAGATGGTGGGATCCTGTTAGGGCTGATCTAAGGAGGTTGCATGTCTACTATGCAGCAACAGCTGTGCAGTCTGGCAGAAGGCAGAAAGCGTACGAGGTGTGGTGACATAAACAGCTTTGGCCACCATGACACCGTGAGTTTGATCTTTTTAATTTGCATAATGTGCCTGGGTGGGTCAGAGGCCTAATATTGAGCACACAGCCAGCACTACTAAGATCCTAGGTTCAAATCCACATTTCAACCATCCGTAACCAAACAAGATTAAGTGCAGTAAATTCATTAAATCAAATCTGTCTTTTTACTTAATTTGGCTGATGAGAGCTAAAACTTTTATTCTGGATTACCATGATAAATATACCTCTCAGGCAGGTGTGTGATAATATGCACCGAGTCACCATAAGAAACAATTTTAAGAGATGTCAGAAGTAGTTTTGTGATGTCAAATACAGGAGGCTGCTCTCTAACGTGGGGTGATGCATCACTTTCTATGAAAGTTGCAAATTTCATCTCAGGACATAATGCAAAGAGCACAAATGAATTATAAATATATATGTATCTGTTCAGCCCTTTGTCAATCCACTGCTGGATAAAGGGCTCTCCACGCCCTGTCGGTCATGAGGGTTTTTATAACCATACTTCACCAGGCAGGTTAGCGTGGGTTGATTTAGCATTTAAATCGCAACTCATGTTAGCCGCGGCTGGGAAATGAACACAGATTAATAATAATGATTTGTTTTGCAATAGCACCCAATATGCCAAGTTGTCTCCAAGTGATAAACATCAGGTTGCCGGGTTCATAGCACAGTGTGTGAACCAGTGCTCCACCCCATGGAATATCATCAGTCAGGGTCAATCCACTGCTGGATGAAGGCCTCCCCAATTCACTGCCATCTCTCACTAACCCTGCAATGTAATAATCCACCCAGCACTTGCTGCTCCCTCATTATTCCCGACCCTTGGCAATCTTTCCTTCCAGCGACACGTCCGGCCATTGGAGCTCACCTACTTTTATAAACTTTTCAAAGGCAGAATTAACGTGGTAATGTTTTCAAATAAATGTGTTCCTCTTTCAGCGTGTCATTGTAATTGAGGAGGGTTGGGGGGGGGGGCTCAGAAGTAGGAAAACACATTTTTAAAAGTTTAAGTAAGCCTGCACAATCCACCAAATCTGGCCTGCGGAGTTCTAGATTAGAGGCGTATTGCCTTTCCACCGTGACTCACTCGCATATCCCGCTCGCTGTGCAGCGCGGATGACGCTCGCTCCCTCCCACGTCTCTCCGTCCATGTCTCCGTCGTAGTGCTCCTCCATTTCTGACATCGTCACACCTGTGCGAGGGCGAGAGCAATAGATGCGTGAGCACAAAGCCCGTAAAAACACAAAGATCCCCCCCCCCCCCCCGTATAGCCTTAACAGATTGTTGGTACAAGCGCTGTTAGCGAGCACCTATGAAGGACGGCACGGTAGATGAGGGGGTGGGTGGCCAGCACCACGCCCGACCGCCTTTGTCTCCCTTGTGGAGATGTTGACACACCGCACGATATGCTCATGTGAGGCTGAGTCGACCTACGGGAGGACCAGGACCGGTTCAGATAATCGTCACTGGTGTTGGCCGTGAGCGGGCATTGAACTCAGGTTGCTGGGTTCATAGCACAGTGCGCTGACCACTACACTACCGCTCAAGAACATACACGCACACAAGCACGTACATGTGTATACACACCCACACATATCATTACACCAGTTAAACCGTGTCGGCCGGGTTACAGATCCGGTACGGAGGCTAATGCTAGTGAGCGCCTATTATGCTCACGTTTCCCCCAGTGTGAGATTTGATCATCAAATACAATAAGACCTGCTTCAGGAAAAACCTGACTTTGTGGTGGTTTGTTTGTATGTCTACGTAAATGTGTAAAACGCTCCAATGAATAAAACTACTCAACCCTAAACTATAGCTTAATGTACTGTGTATTTTTCAGCTATAAGGCAGTGTTTGTAATGACACTGGTACAGTGTTTCCAACCTGTGCTTCTACACCAATGCCAACACGGTAGATAAAACGTAACGTCTTCATGCGTCTATTAAATATTAGAAATAAATATATGTACAGCCACTTTGTCACTCCACTCCTATACGAGGGCCTCTGAATGCCACGTGGGTCGCGAAGGTTATTTGACCATACTTCACCACGCCGATTAGTGGTGGCTGGCAAAGGCAGGGAGCATGGACGTGGGAACATAAGAGTACGATAAAACAATGGATTTTTCTGCACCTACTCTCTCCTGCCCATAACTTAGTCGCACATTCCTATGATGAACCTTTTTGTGCATGGTGGTCACCCATCCAAGTACAATTCGAGCTCAGCCTTGCTTAACTTCCAAGCTAATGTAATGACATGGTGACATCTGCTGGCCGGGAAAGGGAAGCACAGGTACGGGCACGGTAAAAGTAACAACCAATCAGAGAAGGAGAGGTATCTGGGGCAAAGGTAAAAGGTGGGGTTAGCCGAGATACTCCCGGGACATGCTCGAAGGTTCCACGAGAGGGCGTGGCTGGAGGCGGGGCCTAGCCATGCCTGGGGGGATATAAGGGGGAGCGGACCCGGGGCTCGGGGTTCGTGTGGGGATTCTTGGGTCCTGGCTGTCGCTGCTCGCCGACATCTCTCTCCGTCGTCCGGCCACGTGGAAGATCTCCTGCGGGGGTTCCATCGCCAACATCGTTACCCCGCCAGCCAGCGGCGTAGCCGAGTGAGGGTGGTGGGACCACGCCGAGTGATCGGTGGTGTCTAGCCAGTAGAGACGTTAATATCTAAGTGTTGCACTCATAGTGAGTATAATAAGTGTTGGCCTGTGTTGTGCCCAGTGTGAGAAATAAAAGAAGTACCCTCTACACGACGTGTCGCAGAAGTCGCTCATTACACTATGATGAGCTTGGATGCATTCCGGATGATTTGTTTTTTGACACTGGCCATACATTCAATGTGTATACAGTTGTCCCTCACTATAACGCGGTTCACCTTTCGCGGCCTCGCTGTTTCGCGGATTTTTTTTAGTGTAATTTTGCATGCTTTATTTTCCTGCGTACAGTATGAACGCGCATTGTGTTCAGCGTCCTGATTGGCTAAGGGAGAACCGCACATGTGTTCTGCGTCCTGATTAGCTAAGGGAGTACAGAATGCGTTCGGCTAGCCAGATTTACAAAAATGTTTGGGCTTGAAAACAGGTTTTGATCTTTGGTTTCATTTACTAATATTGTACTTATTTTTTTAAATCTGCGAAAGTTTGAACTTTGAGAGTGTTTAAATACGAGAGAAATGTGAGAAAATGTTAATGCCTGTCTGAGAAAAGTGTATAAAAGTGTGTGGTTAGGGGTTTTACGGCCTTAAAACATGTATAATTGTAAAAAATAAAGCTGATTACTTCGCGGATTTCGTCTATTGCGGGTTATTTTTAGAACGTATCCCCCGCGATAAACGAGGGACCACTATACTGCATTTACAAGTCACGTACCGATTCACCGTCCTGATGATTGGTTAAATTGTTTGTCATCTTGCTCTTGCTGTCTTGTTGAAACAATCTGTATCGCGTGTTTTAACTGTGATGCTGCCGTGGTGTAATGGTTAGCGCAAGGGCTGAACGATTAATCGATTTCAAATCGAAATTGCAATTTGAAACAATGCGATTAGCAAATCGCAAAGGCTGCGATTTTTTGTGATTTGAAAAGTCCTATTACTTTCTTATTGGAATTGTTTTATTTTGTATTATTATAACTTTTTTTATTTCACTTAACAATTGTTCTATGTTTTATTGTTCTATTTCAATTAAAACATTTTAATAAAAACTAGTTGGAAGCAATTCATATCTTTTAAGTTTTCATCCTTGCATAAGAATATTTCGAGCAGTTCATATTTTGACGGTATCATGTGGTAATGGTCCATCACATGTTTTAAATCTATTACACAGTGAATATTGAACTGAAGCTTGACTTAAAAAATATTTATCACAATGGCAATATCTGTCAGAAAAATCGCAAATGAGATATTTTCCCCAAATCGTTCAGCCCTAGTTAGCGCACACTGGACTTGCAATTCAGAGGTTGCAGGTTTGAATTCTCGGTGAGGCAGTTGAAACAATGGGGAAGTTTATTGAATCCCTCCCCTCCCGCCTCTTGTCTACCCAGCAGTATAAAGGTGTGCTGCTCTGCAGTTAGTTGACTGGTAGGGAGCATAGTCGGGTCAAGTGTGGGCATGCCCACCGCCTCCGAGGCACTGGTCAGCGTGGAAGTGTAGACCAAAACACCCTGCAGAGGACCCTGTAGAGCTCCCTCTAGTATAGGCCCTTCCGTCAGCAGTTGCTTGAGCAAGACATCCCCGTTAGGGTTTGCCGTCCTTACCCTGCACCTCCGATTAGCACGGTTGGCTACGTACAGTGCGAAAGAGCTACATACAGTGCGAAAGAAGTTCAATATGATACGTACAACACATACAGTACATACAAATTGAAGGATATTACATGTAATTTGCATTTATAAAATATACGTATTTTCATATGCAACGTTTGGATTCATTTTATTTAACAAACGTGGATTGGTTTCATATTTACACATTCATGTGCAAATAAAACCAGTCAACAATACCAGCGCCCACTGACTAAATCACACTTCATTGGTCCGAAGCCGGTGGTGGAAATTCCACATTTCCGTGGCTGGTACCATTACCTCCTCGACGTAATAAAACCCTCTTTTGCCAAGCAGTGTAGCCCCACCAGATGGTGCTCATTTTAGCGACCCCCCAAGGAATGGAGATGGCATGATTAAGATGATGGGGCTGAGTCAACCCTGACCGGGATTTGAACTCATGACCTCATGATTGGGAGCCCTGCTGTTCCACCAACTGAGCTACTTCCTGGCCATAAAAGCCAGCCATGAATGCCTAATTAAACATGCGTGTGTGGGGGGAGGGGTGTGTGTGATTGTGGGGAGTGGTAGGGTAGCGGTTACCACGCTATGCTACGAACCCAGCAAACCAAGTTCGATTCCCGCTCATAACAAACACCAGTTATGATTATCTAAATCGGTCACTGGGCATCCCCTAGGTCGACTCAGCCTCAAAATGAGTACCTAACTGTAAACTATTTTTTATTTTACCAGGTATGGTCTAATGAGCTACTTAGCTCTTTTTCAGAAGCAACCTAGCCACAAATGATAGCTCCACGAAGTGGCTTATCAAGTGGATATATAGCAGCTAAATACTCTAAAAATGTTTACAAATATGGAGAGAAAAACAGGAAAAATTCCACACGACCACGTGGACAACATGCAAACTCCATCTATACAAGCGTTGGGGTCGTGATCAAATCCAAACCTTCCTGTAAACCAGGCGAAGTAGTTCACATCTTGCCACCATGATGCCCTATCATCACCACTGGGGAGACAAAGGCATTCGGGCATGGTGCTGGCCTCCCATCCCCTCGTGTGCCGTGTTGGCCTTCATAGGTGCTCACTAACAGCATGCCCCAAAGTCTGTTTAGGCTATTTGGGGGATCTTTATCTTGTGGGTGATCGACATTTGAGCTTTCATACATTGTATGCTCTACTATCTGTAGATGCAGCGTATGTGCATGTGAAATTGTGCAATAAACAGCCCTTTGTTAATCCACTGTTGGATGACAGCCATCCCAATCCATGTGGGTCGTCAGGCTTATTTGACCATATTTCACTGCGCTGGTTAATGCAGGTTGGTGAAGATGGGAAGTATTAACGTGGCAGAATAGAAGTACTGAACAATATTGGATTTTGCTGCACTGGCCTCTGCTAACCAAAATATATAGCTGCAGCAGCCTATGAAACCTGTTTTATCTATGATGGTCACTCATCCAAGCATTGTCCAGACAACCCTGAATAGTTTCTGAAATTGTATGAGATTGGGCGCATTCTGGTGGATTGGGTGATTATTATTTGTATAAATAATGTACAGATAATCGTAAACAATTAGAAAACAGATGTATTATACACTGTAAAGTGTAATATGTAATTACATTTTTACATGACCCACAACCGGAATTTCACGTGTTCCAATCCAAATAGAGGGATAACTGCGCTCATCACACTTCTACAGCCGATAAAATTAACGACCACATTGTCAGTGAATGTCCTATGTACAGACCGACCCTTTAATAAGAATAATTTCAACTTGTAATGCCCACAGTATTTACTCACTCTCATAGAGAGAGAAAACCCCAGAGGCGTGATGGACCACAGACAAGCAGGAGAGCAGCGATGCATTGAGCCAGTGCCAACAATTGGCCAAGCTCTGTGGTCCTCTATATAT